ACCGTGGAGAACATAAGTATCCCCCCTCCAGAAGGAAGGACAGTGTCAGCACCAACTCAGAGATGATTTGAGGATCTACAGATTTTAGTGATACACAATTAAGCTGTTTTTGTTAATAATTAGGGTACTTGAATACATTTTTAAGGTTGTGTTCAATCAACTTTTGTCTAAGGAAACAGTCCAACAAATTCTTGAACAACGCTAGCATCCAATCAATATGTCCAATAGCAGGAAGTAGGGATCCCACCTATCTGCGCTCTGTTAAAAAAAAAAAAGTTACCAGTGACTTTGACAAATGTGTTTAAATAGATAGGTTAGAAGCTGGTCTTAGAAGCAGGGCAAAACAGTGTCATTTACCCGGTCTACGCACCTAAAAATCTTAATAGTACTAAATGGCTTTTTTTATATATTATTGGCAGCAGCTTTCTAATGCAGTTGCTAAGTAACTCTCTTTAATCATCTATACAGTGCAGCTTTAAATCACAATCTTTAGATTTCATTTTTAGCATTCTAAAAATGAAATCTAAACCCTCAGTATTTTTTGCATATATCTACTGCTAGCAAGCAGTAGATACATGCAAAAAGTTTTTTTTTTTAAACGCTTTAACAGCGGTTTCAACTTACCCGTGTGTTCCCTGCATGAAAGTGAAGCAGTTTCATGAAAGTGAAACTGCTTGGGCGGCCGCAAAGCATCTCGGGGCGGGCGCATGCGCAGTTCACATTTTCGGCCAGGACGCGAGGAAAGACATAAGGTAAGTCTATGGACGCGTGCACCCGCATGCAGACACCGTGGGAGAGTACATGCCAGCTAGCTCAGAGGAGTCAGCGCTGGATCGGAGATTTGCGGCAGCGCCGGAAAGAAGGCTGAAAACTACAGGAAAGAAGATGATCGGATTAAGAGACATCATTTAAAGTGACATTAAAAAGTAAAAAAATAAATTTCCCTCCACCCAATGTTAATGTCAGCACTTACCTTAAATGATGTCTCTTAATCCGATCATCTTCTTTCCTGTAGTTTTCAGCCTTCTTTCCGGCGCTGCCGCAAATCTCCGATCCAGCGCTGACTCCTCTGAGCTAGCTGGCATGTACTCTCCCACGGTGTCTGCATGCGGGTGCACGCGTCCATAGACTTACCTTGCGTCTATGCTCGTCTCCCGGCCGAGAATCCGAACTGCGCATGCGCCCGCCCCAAGATTTCTTGCGGCCGCACGAGCAGTTCCGGATTATCGGCGCGGGAGCGCGCAGCGATAACGGGGTAAGTTTAAACTGCTGTTAAAAGCGGGTTTTAAAAAAAACAAAAAACTTTTTGCCTATATCTACTGCTCGCCAGCAGTAGATATAGGCAAAAGAAAACGGAGGCTTTAGAACCCCTTTAAGGTAAGTGCTTTAATTAACGTTGGGGTAAGGGAAAACATTTTCTGCCTTAAATGCCACTTTAACTATTAACATAAATGTAGCTTATTTGTGTATCACTCAGCTGTAGATCCTCAAATCATTTCTGAATTCATGCTGACACTTTACAATCTCAATACAAACTGGTAAACCAAACGTGAGATTGTAGTCCATCACGGCGGCGAGCTTGGAGCGGGGTCTACTTTACAACACACACACACACACACACACAGGTACCATAGGGTAGCCAACCTGCAGCATGAATTCAGAGATGATATGAGTGATACACAAATAAGATACATTTTTCTTAATAGTTAAAAGTACTTGAATGCATTTTTAAGATTGAACTCCTGAGTTTTGTGTCACCTTAAGTGCTCAGAAACACTTATACAATATATGACAGTTTGGAGGTCTTTTAATGCAAATGCTAGACGCAATGAATGCGCGGCTGAGCAGTTATGCGAAACGTTGCAAAACATGAACAGTGCAGAGATAAAAAACATTTGTGGTTACTTAGTATAAGATTTTGTTTTTTGCCAATAAAAAAATTTGTTGCAAACACGTTCATAAATTCCCACCCTATGGCTTGAAGTTATCAAGGTGTATATTGTCTCAGCATATCCAGCAGATGGGTTATTTGGACCAAAGCACTCAAGCCCAAACTAAATAGTAATTTCAAATATATTAAAGAACCTTCCGTTTCTATAGTATACTACCTTTGTTAACCATGCACTACTACGTACATGTCCGTACGGAATCACAGGCCACCAACATCAACTGTTTAACTTCTACCTTCACAACACCTTCTTCCCTAGAAGTATTTCAATCTTCCTTTACAATGTTTACAAAAATACTTTGAGTAGTCAGGGAAGGAAAAACAAATTCAAGAACTTGACCTTAGTGCACATACCTAAAAAACATTAAATATATCTAATTTATTGCTGCTCATCAAACCCTGAGAAAGATTTAAGCAGCAACACGTGTGGTGACATTCAGCTGCTAATATTTTAACCAAGTCAAAATCATTAACGAAACAATTCACCACTATATCATAAAGCCGCATATTAAAAGAAAGCATACCCAGCATAATCCTTTCATTAAAAAAACTAACTTGATATTTCTACAAAGTGTGGCACAACAGAAACTAGAGTGGCTACAGCACAGAGACTTGTCTGTACAGGAGATCATATATGCATACACTCAATGTGGTCCACGGCACAGTGTAGAAAGCACTTTGCACAAGCAGGAAACCGATTCTAATTTATAAAAAACACAACAGTAAACAACTCCTAATGATTTAAAAAATTCTATACCTTAAACACGTGTATATCTAAAAAGCACATCTAAAAACTCTTTCGAGAGCACAGAAATTAGACGTAGAGATACTGACAGCAGATTAAAAGATACTTTTTAGGCAGTGAGCTGCTTTGACAGATGCACATAATATTCACACTTTTCTTTTTTTTTTATATTTATCATTCTTCGGGAAATCCCATCCCAGCTGGGTTCAAATAGCCTCATTCTGGTACTACAAAAGTATAGGAAAACTATAAATAACTAAATAAAGGAGTTTTTAGGTAAGAAGTGCAAACATTTTTTTTTTCTCATACCACAATCTGTTGATGTAAATGCAATGTGTGAAGAACTATTATCTTAAAGTGACACTAATCTCAGGCGTTAAATCTTAAAAATGCATTCACGTAACCCATTAACAAAAATATAGATTAGTCTATCACTCGGCTGTAGATTCACAACTCATCTCTGAATTGGTGCCGACACTGTCCTTCCTTCTGGAGGGTGGCTACTTTTGTTCCCCATGGTCCCTATGTGCGCTGTAAAGTAGCCACAGCTCCAAGATCACTCTTGTGATGAACTATAATGTCAATACAAACTAGTAAACCCCATGTGAGACGAGTGAGTTTGGAGCTGTGGCTACTTTACAACACACACAGGGACGAAAAGTAGCCCCCCTCCAGAATGAAAGACCAGTGTCCGCACCAATTCAGAGATGATTTGAGGATCTACAGCTGAGTGATGCACACGTGAGATACACTTTTGTTAATATTTAAGGTACTTGAATGCATGTTTAAGGTTTAGCTCCCGAGTTTAATGTTACTTTAAGTATAATAACTCAGGACTTCTGTGTGCAAATAGATGACAAGAATAATTTACATCACTTTGGTTTGATTAGAGGCTATTGAAAAGTGGCTTTAATTCAACCAGTGACAACAATTGGCTAACATGTGAAATCTTTAAAGGCCAAATTGAGCCAAAACTAATATATCAATGCTTTGAATAATGGACTGCATCACCCACTGCATTCTTATGTCTTTTAGTAACTCCTGATCTAAGATTTCAAAGCAGTCTCTGTTCCTTCCCAAGAGGTCATAACAAAAAGGTGTCACTCTCTTGAAGCCTGACAATGTGAATATTTGTTTATTCCAACTTATGTATGGGAAATCCATTGCAGACACTTGACACCATGATTTGCCCTTGCACTACCTGCTGAAGTTAGGTGAAGCTGCTGGTAGTAATATCTCAGCACTGGAATCTTAAGGAGTTACAAAGTGCTAGCATATAAGTGAGCTTCTCAGCAACTACACAACTCTTACTTGGTGAGTCACTGACATGGAAAAAACATGTTCAGGTGTCAGGACAGAAGCTTGTTCTAGGTTGGTGACTCATGAAGTTGTCAGACAAGGCAAGAAATGACACTTCAAACACAAGTCAGCAACGACAGGTCACAAATTTCCATCCCAACAGATTACATTTAACAAATCAACTTTGGATGGACATGGCTTTGGAGAGACCACATATTAGGCCTCGTTTACACTACCAGCATGGAGGTGCAATATTGTTCAGTGTACTAAAATGCAAGTTGTAATGTTAAGAAATGTGCAATTTCTATGGTTAATGACTGTGCTAAAACTACAGTTATCCTTTCCCAACTTCATGGACATATGTACCTGCATTGTACCAAGAAGCAAGTACACATGTTTTGGGTTATTTATCTAGAAGCTACAACAGAAAGACATGGAAATCCCTTGTGGTCAATAGGGTCACCAGAAATAGTGTACCCATTGGAAGATTTCCCATCTATTCCTGTTCTTGTGACAACCCAAAATTTGGGATTTTCTTTGACTTTTTTTTTTTTTTCAGTGATAAAGGCCACCAGGCTGACATTGGATATTAAAGCACCTAAAAGCACATAAACTGAAGGTAATGTAAACCAAAATAAACACTTCTTTCTTGCTTCCTTTAATGTGCTTCTACATGCCAAGGATTATGTGTGCATAAAAGAAGCTTTAGTGCATCTCATGTGATCAGGTTTATCTGTCCTTACGTATGTCACCTGTTGGGGTGGCAAAACTGAAAGAGCCACATATAGCCACTTCAGGACAGATCTGACTCACAATAAAGTCATAACAAAAACAAACTGTAAGAAATTATGAAAATCTTAGTAAACTTTTAGCACTAATAACCTGTAATACTATTATTTTATTTAAAGCTAAACCAAAAGGTTTATTTAAAAATATGGGCACTGACGTTGTCACATGGCCAATCAAATTTACATTACGCATTTTTCTTTGCAAGAAATTACTTCAAAGAATTTGTTTCTGAACAAGAGTGTTTTATGTGCTAAACGGAGCTGGTGTAGGCTGAGGAACATGTGGTGATCATTGGTCATTGGCTCTATCCAGACTATCTATCACCCTTCCAAGACGGATATTTAATAACCGTATTTGGTTGTCCAAGTGATCAATTTTTTCTTCCAGGTTGTTGTTACTGTTCCTCCTCCAGTAAAGGCCGACAGGTCCAGTCACGAAATAGATGGCCACCACAAAACACAGAGGCAGCATGGCATGCTCTGGTTCGCCTTCATATTTCTGCAGGATGTACACGCAAGACAGTCCAAAGAGGAAAACTCGGACCAGCCAGAAGAATCGTCCAAATATCACATGGAGGATGTAGAAGAAGAATCCCAGGAACAGAGAAGCAAACCAGTAAGCCAGAACAACAGCCACCACCAGCATTAGAGCCCTGGTGGGGTTAGTGGCCACCATTGTTGGGCTAAAGTAGTGGGTAAAGTTGGCAGCTGGAAAACAAAATAAAAATAATATAAGGGTTACGTTACATATTAAATATTACACACAGAATAAATTAACCCCTTAATGACCAGAAATCATTAAAGCTTAGAACATTTTTACATTGCTTTGTGAGGATATATAAGGCTTTGATTTTGTATGCAGACTACAGACGAGGATGTGGGAAAACATATTTATGGTTATAGTGCACATAGCAAGTGTTTAATCACAATGTATTAGATCGAGGGAGAGAGAGGAGAGAGAGAGATCAAGGGAGAGGGAGGAAAGAGATCGAGGGAGAGGGAGGAAAGAGATCAAGGGAGAGGGAGAGAGAGAGAGAGAGAGAGAGAGAGAGAGAGAGATCGATCAAGGTAGAGAGATCAGTGTCTTCTGCAGGCTGGAAAAGTTTTTTTGTAAACAAACTTTCAGTGATCACTATGATTGGCTGTTAGGTTGATCACATAATCAGAAACCACACTGGTTCCCTATAGTTACAACCTATTGTCACGATCCACCCTGCTGCCTGATTAACAGCTGGTTCTGCCTCTGTAGAGGCAGAGGCAGCTGTGCTCTCCCTCTCCCTTCTCTGTTCCTGCAGTCAGAGCTGGAGGACTGGAGAGGGGAGGGGGGAATCCCTGCAGGGGGTGGTGACAGACAGTCATTGCTCTTGGCAAGGAGAAGATCGTGAACTGAGCGAACAGAGGTTTGTGATCGCTCAGTTCTCGAGCTATAGGGACGGCATGTTACAGCTGCAGTGTCACACGTCAGCTCTAAGTATTGGGATGAGTGTATTTCACTCATCCCATAGTTCTCTTTTAAGCTATTTCATTTTCTCCAACGCAACTTTAGTCTTATTTACAGTCACTTTCCTTAACTCAGACATTTGTCATAGCAAATAAGAACTATTTGACTTAGTCATATGGGTCGGAGCAATCTCCAAAAGTGTTGCATGGGTACATGAATCTAAGATTTCTCTAAAGCAGAAATATGCAGATGATGTTGTGTGAACAGGAATACTTCATAAACTGCCACAAAAGGAAATGTCATATGTCGTTTAAATGCCAAATCTACTCAACACTTGGTAGGATTTCCCAGGCAGGTGACATTGTATCTGGAAATATATTTATGACTTTATACGCCCATTCCCAGGCGTTCTCCCTTTTCCCAACATTGATTGTCCAAAACACATTTCTTCCACACAGCTTCCTTCCATTCTACCTTTGCTGTAGTAAAATAATAGAGCAGGGTGCAACAGACAAACCTCTCCAAGCTAGGTTGGTCATTTACATTTTGCACTTCTCTTCCTGGCCAGGCATTTGCTAGGTTTGCCTGCCGGTTAAAGCAGAACTCTGGGAAAATTAATCTTAACTCTTGCAGTGGGGCTACCCCCGTACTGCATGGATGAAGTGCTTGTTTTGGCCTGGGGAGAACAATAACAAAGTTAGACTCACCTGATCATCGAAGTGGGCCAGCTGTGATAGCGTTTCATTCAGCCTGTCTTTCCCTCTGCTGCAGCAATGGAATGCCCCTTAGCATTCTCACTTCCTATACACTTTGTATAGAATGTGATGCCTCACATGTGAGAATATAACTGTTATTTTCCTGCCTAGACCAAAGCGGTCTACCCCTACACTGCAAGGGTAAAGTAAAAAAAAAAAATCCCCGGAGTTCTTCTTTAACAACTTTAGGACCGTCATTGTAAAAAAACATCCTGTCCTGAAGTGGTCCTCATTTTAAACAACAGGCGATTGCTGTTTAAATACAAGCCCGTCGGATCGCTTGTACAGTGCGGCGCTGTGTGCCCTCCCTCCGCTAGCTTCCCGGGGCTCCACTGTCCCCCCGCGCGGGACCAGCATGGCGGGTCTTCCATGACTGATCAGAGAGAGATCAGCAGGCTTCCAGCCGCTGATCTCTACTCTGATCACTGGACCCAGAAGTGATGAGTAGTAAATCACTGCCGGTGTCACTGTGTACATTATCCGGGTCTTAGAGCCAGAAGAAGAAGCTGGTGAAGCAGATCTCTGCTACATCAGCTTCTCTGGGGTCCGTAGGTGAAATTAGACTCCTGATGTCTCCATAAAGAGGACCTGTCACATTATATTTGCTATTACATGGGGGCTTCTTAGCCCCCTATTGATAGCAATTAAGTTGAGTGTAAAAAAAAAAAAGAAGTTATATAATGAAATGAACATTAAAAAAAAACAACATTTTTTTAAAGTTCCCAGTCCCCCACGTGCACGCAGATATAACGCAAACACGCGTCAGGTGCGCCTATGTGCAAAAACAAAACATATGCCACACGTTACACATCGTCGCCAACGTTGGAGTGAGCGCAATAATTCTAGGGCCATCAATCACTGGAAACACTAAACTGATGAGCACTAAAAGCTTTTAAAGCGTCACCTATGGGAAAATTTGGGTATTGTAGTTTATTGCGGTTTCACCGATGCACGCAATGTTAAGGTTTGACATGTTTTGTATCTATTTACCCGATGTGACCCCGTCTTTTTTTTGGGCATTTAAGATAACTATTTTCTCATATACAGCTTCAACTACATTCTGAATACATGTTTGTTATCACAGATTGCAAGGTGCTTGAGGTTGCTGCTTCCAAACAAAATTGCAGAGAATGTCAAAACAACATACATCTTATTCATAAAACTGAAAGAAAGGCCAAAAAATATATCAGTCCATTTCATGGTAACGAGTGCTTCTCCTCCCATGTCCTTGGAAAAGTGCGAGAAATCCCCACCAGCTATTCTTACACACAAAAGAAGAAAAAAAAAAAAAAGCTACAAGATCTACATGTCCACTGCAGGTCACTCTTCATCTGAGGAACTCTGGTCAAGAGTGTAAACCATAAACAAAACTTCTGGACGTGCTGGTACGCAGGGGTGCCCGGGACGCACAATCTCAAAGCCCAGAAAGCTAAATGTCTTCATAAGCGGACCTCTGTCTTCACGGCCCTTTCTAAAGCAGATAAAGACATATCTGACTTTCATCTTTTCTTCTGCAAACTCTAGAAGAGCCAGTAACCCTTCTTTGCTTCCATCAGCTAGAATGCCCTCAGGGATTTCCACAAAGAGGCTCTGGTTTGACAGCTTGGCCTTCCATGAAGATTCTTTCACGTCAGTGACCTTATAATGAAAGTGGATAAGGCGGGGCTTCCCATCATTCCCCGGGAGATCCTGAGAAACCGTAAGCTTCTCATCCTTATATATCACAGCTGGGAGTGCAGGATCCCTGCTGTCCCCTCGCCCACCGGGGATCTTCAACAGTGGGTGAGGGGCATCAGGAGCACCACAGAGGCCCGGGAATGAGGTGCCTGCAGCACTGGAGTTGGGGACTGCTACTCAAAGGGAAGATGGTACTCTCCTAAGGGTCCATCATTGTCCCCGCGCCGTGTTCCGCTCTCCTCTATGGACTGCTCGGTATTGCTGGGCCCGAACTCTTCGCTCCTTCCCTATACCCGTCCTGCGCTCGGGCGTCAGTAAGTGAGTCTCTGGTAAGTACGCGTTTTCCTTGTTGTCCTAGTCACACAGAACACCCGCATCCGGCCCCTCCGCTGTTCTCCGGTGCTGACTACCGTACGCCGCACTCTACCTCCCGTCAGCAACTCCGAACCGTGACCCCGTCTTTTATATTTTAACCAAAAAAAAAAATTGATAATATATTCTGTTTCTGTGCACTAAATTTCACTTTAGTGTATTTTATCCTAAAACTACTGGGTTGATAAACATTTGCGCAAATACCATGCGACATAAAAAATTGCAACTAGCATTTTTTTTTATTCTGCAGGGCCTCTGCTTTCAGAAAATATATCATTGTTTGGGGGTCTGAAGCTGTTTTCTAGCCAAAAATTCAGATTTCATCATGTGTGTGCAAATGTCAGAAATTGCTCTGGCCAGGAAGTGGTTAAATTGGTTCCTGAATTCTGCATTACTGTGTCCAGCCCAGAGGAAGTACATAATATTCCTGCCCTTGCAGTTTGAGTTTACCACATGATAATCCTGCTGGCAGAAGGCAATTATTTATGCTCTGGCCTGAAAAAACATGTTCCACTCATCATGTGATACTTCTCTAACAGTAAATAAAATGGTAAAGCTATGCCAAGCAAAATCATATCAAATATGGCCGGGTAAAGGGGAACTCTTAAAGGGTTACAACTCTGTTAGATTTGATTTTTGGTATTGGTGCAAGGCTGTTACAATGAAAAGGTTTGGGATGCTCTAACTCACTTGCAGTAATAGATCTGTGTGACCTTGCCTTCATATTGGTGTTTTCAACATACTCCAGACTCCACCCATTTTAGGAGTAGTTGGGGGCTGAGGATGTGATCCAGTGCCCCCATGTGCTGGAATCATGGCACAGAGAAATCCGATTTGTTGTGAACTAAACTTTGTAGACTTGGGCTTCAGTTTGTATTGGAGCTGGGTGTACAGCAAGCTTTTAGAAAGCACTTGTCAAGCTTTCACAGCGAGCTTCATGCAGCTTGCTTGAATCCTAAAGCATCCATCAGCTCCAGTTCAGGGACGTTAAACACACAATGTAAGTGCTGCCGGTCACAAATTGCTATATTCCACATTTTAGGCGTGCAAATTACTTAAAACACCCAAACATTATATATTTTCAGAAAGCCAAGACCCTATAAAATAAAATGCTGGCAGTTGCAAATGTTTATGTTGCACAATATTAGCGCAACCCCTTATCAAACACCCAAATTTTGTGAAAAATGCACTTAAATGGCTCCGAAACACAATAAACGACCCCTTTTTTGAATACAATATAAAAGATGAGGTTACAATGAGTAAATCGATAACCAACATGCCCAGGTTACAAATTGTGTGCGTCCATGAAAAAATTCAGTACCCCAAAAAGTCCATCGATGACGCTTTCAAAGTTCCCACAGGTCATCAGTTTAGAGATATCCAAAAATACTGGCCTTAGAATTATTGTTCTCACTCCGGTGTGCGCGGCGATACCCAACATGTGTAGCGTGATCATCTTTTTCATATGTAGGCGCACCCGACTTTACTTTATTTACTATCACATAGGGGGGCTTACAACACCCGTTCACCAGCCCGTAGAAGCGATCTGGCAGCAGAGTCACCAGAATCGCTTCTATTGTAAAGCCGACAGTCGGCTTTACAAGTTTTAACAGAGTCCAGTCTGTTTAAACAGCCCTGACACCAGTGACATACACTGCTGCTCTCTCTCCTTGTGCATGGTGACTGGTCCTGTATCCTTCCCCCTCCTATAATTTCTTGCAGGCAGCCTGCAGAGGGTGGGGCCTGATGGGCCCCTCTCACAGCTCTGCAACCTAGTGATGGTGATACTACTACTTTCTCAAGGCAATATCTGGGTTCGCAAAGGCATTTGGTGCACACAACGTGGATTTTTTTTGTTTGTTTATATTGAGAAATATATTTAAATAATTTTTTAATGCATAGAGTTCATCTTTAACTACTGAACCTTACTGAAAACCTGCAAAAAACCTTGCTGATCTTGCCAGAAATTCCTCTGTCCTCTGCACACTTCCTAATTAAAAAGCCCTCCTAGGTCTCATCTTGGACCACAGAAGAAGGAGAAGTTGTGGCTTAGTGAGAGAGGGGGTTACAGGTATGGTGGTGAACAGGAAGGGTGCAGTCCATGTTGAGGTCTCTCCCTCTCCTCTCATGATGCGAGAGGAAAGGGAGAGAATGCTGCACACCACATCCATCGTTTACATTTTGTGACAGCTGTGATTGATCACATCGATCACATGGTACAGAGCCAATTCTATTGGCTCTGTACCTTGTTTTGCGAACTTCGCTGTCCAATGGACAGTGTGTTCACATAGAACTCCTCGTGCGCGTGCTAGGAGGCGCACCACACAAGTATGGTGACCCACAATGCAGTGCGAGCCGTCCGTCTGCTCATACACAAAGGGCGGACAGCAAGAGGTTAAAAAGATCATTCATACTGAAATGTGCATGTATTGGAGAGATGTATTACTTAGGTTTTTGTTTATTTTGCCTTGATATACACTTTAGTGCCACCAAACTGAAGGGTAATGTAAAGCCTTCAAGAAAGCTACTAGAGACTTTCTAAAAGCATTGCAAATGCTATGTAAAAGCTTGTTGCACACCCTGTTCTCATACAAGCTGGAGCCCAAGTGTCTATACAATACCCAATCTTTACAATCAATGTGACCAGTTCACACCTTACTCCCTATGATCAGACTAGGTATGTCACCAATAGAGGGTAATTTTAAGCACTTCTGACCATAGAACGTGTTTGTTATCACACACAGACAGACATTTTACTTGTTAGGGCTAGTTCACACCAGAACTGCGTGCGTCTGTACTCTGTAGCATTTTTTCTGACAGGACCGGAACGCAGACATTGATGTGCCACACATTCCCATGCGGTCGATTTCACTGCGGCCAGAGGGCGTGACTGCGGTGCCATTGAGTTAAATGCACTGCCACGCCCCCTCCCTCCCAAACACAAAGTGAGCAAGCCGCAATGCGTTCCAGTGCGTTCCGGCCCCAATTGGGCCTGAACGCACTGTGGCTGGTGTGAACTAGCCCTTAGACTTTTACTTTTTAAAGAAGAGATAGTAAGGACTATATTGCCATACATGTTCCACAATGAATCACCTGCCAAGTCATAGCAGGACTACAAGGTCAGGCAAATATTTAAACTCCCACTTCTGGAGATACATCTGGCTGCACTTTCCTTGGCTTCCTGGGGCTACTATAAAAGGTCAACAAAGTGCTTCCTTTGACAGCACATCTTGGGCTTTTCCTCTAAACCTCCTACCATAGTTTTTTATCTACAAAAGCAAAGTGCAGTACACTAGGGCCTCCCAGGCGTTGTGTGACCCGAAGCGGACGCCAGGTGACACCATGCTGGGGCGTCATCACACATGTGCGCGATATCATTGTGCAAAGTCGTCACACGCGCATATCTGTTGGCGCCGAACTTGGTGATGGATCCCGGCAAAGAGAGGAGGGGACGTTCACCCGGTGGGATAAGGTATGCCGCCGGGTCCCCTCCTCTCTCATGCTCTCGGTCCATACCCTAGTGGCCAGCTTTTCAGAGGGGTGACCATTTTAGTGTCATCTCCTCCAATGATCTCAACCGTTGTGGGCCGCACCCCATGCACCCTCCTTGTGACGCCACTGGCAGATCAGCAATACAAGCAGAATTTGCAAACTCAAGCTTGTTTCAAACATAGGCTGTACCACAACTGAACAAGAGAGTTGTTTTGAATGTTATCAATTTTAAAAGGAATCTTGGGACAGGCATATGGGACCCGCCACTACCAACTTTTAAAAGTGAAAATGCTTTTGCTTTACTTAATGGGCTGATTTACTAAAGGAAGAGAGACTGTTCACTTTGCATATCAGCAAATTAGGTGAAGCTGTGTTCACTTTAAATACCCAATCAACTACCAAAAATCCTGTTTTTTTTATCCCCCTTGTACACTATTGGGCATTCAAACTGAGCTTCACCTTATTCATGAACATTCACTTATTTTACTAATTATATAGTATATTTATTTATGAAGAGTGAATGTGACATTCACCAAACATTATTGCAGGCATATCTTCATGGTGCATGTGTTTTAAATTACATAGTGATTGATTAACCTGCACTTAATGTTTGGCGAATGTCACATTCAATGCTTTGTAAATATACCTTCATGAGTCACTAACACTACAATAATGGTGGCTACCATATTTCTGTCCAGCATGACCTCAATGCTTTCTGAAATGAAACCATAATATCCCACTGCCCGTTAACTTTAGATGTTAGTGTACGTTCACACCACATGCAGTGCGTTCCGGTCCGATTCTGACCGGAACGCACTGCATCGCATTGCGGCCGTCTCACTTTTTTGTGGGGCAGGAGGGGGCGTGACGGGCCATTGAAGTGAATGGCACAGTAGCCACGCCCTCTGGCCGCAATGCGATCGCCCGCACGGGATCGCAAGGCACATTGTGCCTGCGGTCTGGTCCGATGCGTACAAAATGCTGCAAGCATTGCGCATCGCGGCCGGAGGACGTGGCTACGGTGCCATTCACTTCAACGGCCTGCCACGCCGCCTCCTGCCCCACAATTGATTGGAAGACAGCTGGTTGGTTTCTTAGAGTGTCAGGAGTTCCATCCAACAAGATTTACCCCATGTCAAGGTTTGGGACAAAGCCCAGGACAAGTCAAATAAACTACACCAGGGTTAGGCAACCTCAGCACTTCAGATGGTGTGGAACTACAAGTCCCATAAGGCATTGAAGGCCTCTGACAGCTACAGGTATGACTCCCAGAAGCATGATGGGATTTGTATTTTCACTACAATTGTTTTAATAGACCCGTGATCATGAAAGCATGTACCGTGGACCAGTTTGTGTGATGCGATTCTGGTATGCTGCTGGTTGCTCTGGCTGCGAGGGTCTACGGCGAGCCTAAGTTAATGAAAACTATTTACTAATGGAGTTGAGAATCTTCACACAATCAGTGGTGTGAATATGCAAGTCAAGTGAAAAGCAAATTCCTGTTTACTTTTTTTCCATCTGCAGTGCACACAGTTGGATGATTAAAGTGAATAGTCACATCATTTAAACGATTCTTAAATCCTTGAGTAAAATTTGCCCAAATGTATTCCACGCAAAAGCTGGACACCAGAAAGGCTACACACACAAAAAAAATCACGTTCCCTTTCCTGACTATGCCAACTACACAGTTTCTACAGCTGTACATTTTAGAACTGGAGAATGGACTGTTTTCAGGGAACAGTAAAGGCACATCCGAATCAAAGCGCTGAGCCATAAGTGGATGCTTTCTGTGGCATGAATCAGTCCACCAAGGCAGGACAAAGCATTGCAGAAATATCAGACACCGCTTATCTAGAATATTTTAGCAATGCTTACAGACATGCTTTAAATAACTCACTCACCATCAATTCCCAGTACATCAAGCAGGTCTGTCCATATTCTCCATAACGTGTCCACCAAAACATCTACTCCATACACAAACCTCTCTGTCAGCCGTGAGAAGAACTATTAGAAGGAAACAGAAAGCAGTTAGTAGAGTGACCAAGGCATAAGAGCATAATTAGTTTCATGGCCTATGTTGCGATTTAAAATGCTTCAGCATAAGGCATGTTATTATAATTCAACCAAACTCACACAGACATCTTAGATTTGGCAAAACATGGAGGACATTGTGCATTCCCAAGGAACAAATTTAACATGGGCATCTAGAGAGAAACATAAAAACTCCACCGATATGGTGGTATTAGCACAGGCTCGGCAAGGATAGCTTTACGAGTGTGGTGCAGCAGTGGCATTAAATTGTTGCTCACCATATTTCAAAAGCCCATTATGTGCAGCGGCATACATATCTGTGTCAATATTCATGAGGACTAAACGTCCAGATTTACTATGACCCATGAAAGCAGGTACTGTATTCATGTTGCAGTCTTGTCAACGCTATCCCTAAACAGATACTTAATTCAACATATTGAATTGTAAGATACCAAGTTAGCAAACTCATAATAGCGTGCTACCCTGTATGCTTAGATCAGTCATGTGACTATTATTCGCCTGCCAAAGTGGAAATGGCACTTTCTGTAGTCTCTACGCTGTGTAACGTATGTTATATTCCCTCTGTGATGTGTATCCTGAGTTCTAAATATGTGCACTGTAAATGCCCCCCCTCTACACCTCCAGGTAACACTATCACTCCAGAGTCAATGGACACAAGTGTGGGGGCACAGGAAGTAACATCATGCTAAACTTACAGGATAACGAATTTGAAAAATTTTGGTCACACACATGCAAGGCTATACGCCACAAAATGGACTGCAAAATCATAAATGACGGTCATTACATCATTAACAATGCTTCCAAAGGTGTCATTCCCTGGCTAGAGCTTGCCTAGACTTTGGAAACAATGGGTGGTGGTAGAACTGGTTCCCACCTCCATATACTAGATCATCTGGCTATCACACAAATGCAGCACACATTTAAAAGGTAATGTTAACTAACTGTCCCCTTGAGCAGAAATTCTCAGACATGTCAGAAGATCTGTGTGCTTCTAAATGCAGAGGTTCTCAGTACAGGGCTGTGCATAAGTCCCATACCCATGTAAACAATGGGATTTGCCTACATACCCGTACACCCAGCCTGTCATTAAGCTGTACAGTCTGACTGCACACAGCTGTCACTCCCAGCAAGAGGAATACACCAGGATGTGCAATGTATGGCCCTTTTGCGATCGTGAACAAGAGCCCTAAAACAGAAACTTTTTTTATTATTAGATCACATTATTATTACATCATCGTTTTTGTAGATCTTTGAATTAAGAAGAGCATGGTGTTAGACATGTTAGGACTGTATGTACAGCTTTTGAATGAACAGTATGAGCAGGATGTTTATTAGATAATTGACTACAACGTATGCGATTCAGCAGAAAATTATAAGATGCATAGCAGTATCAGGTCATCAGTCTCGACAGAGGGATACAATTTACACAAAAAGTAGCGGCTTGCTTTCTGGTCACTAAGGGGTCTATTTTTAAACGTTTACATCCAAGATTCACATTTCTAATTTGATTCAGTGTGGGATTTCTGGGGGAAAGTTGTGTGAACCCTGTGTAAAAAGATTTGTAAAATAGACCCCTTAGTGTCAATTTTTTTTCTTTGGTAGCCATCTTGGAGACAGACATCAAATGGTGATTTGATAGCACATACAGTGACTTACTTTGGCTGCCATCGGCTTTTAATGTGTGGTTTGATGACATACCCACAGGAAAAGGCCGTTTCCTTTTTGTATCTTCCTTCACAAATATTTGAGGTGTCAAAGTAGGAAATTGTAACAGCTAAACTTTCTCAAAGCTCCTAGCAAGGACTATGGGGAAAAAAATGTAACCCTTTCACTGCTGGGCCTCTCTCTCCACTTTTACCTTAGATGGCTGAAATTTTGAACATTTTACACTTTATCACGTTCCACTATTTTCAACATACGGCTTTGACATGTTTGTGAAAGGGACACCGCTCACATTCTTATGCCCAAACTCATCGGTCCTTTCCAAAAAGCCAGGTGCAGGCCAACAGAGGTACGCCATGGCTGTCCAATATAACTTTGCAATCCAATATATGTTAGGCTCTCAACAGCCAGGACCTCGATGTAAAATATCCCAGCAATAGTACATTATTGTATAATGTTGTACTATTGCTGGCATTTGTTGTATTCCTATATAGCTGGTGGTATACTGCATTTCGCCGTATTATCATTATACAGCGCACTGTAGAGGACTACAAATCCCAGCGATAATAAATGATATACAGTGCAATGCAGAATAACGCCAGCTACAGAGGACTACAAATCCCAGCAATAGTACATTATAGTATAATGTACTATTGCTGCATTCCTCTATAGCTGCTGGTATTCTGCATTGCGCCGCTGTATAATGTACTATATTGCACACCACACTTTTTTTTTTACTTCCACCGTGCCAAGCTTGCTCCTGTGATGGACTACAATCGCAATAGAAACTAGTAGTCCATCACTGGAGCCTTTTTTTTTTTATCCGATTAACCGATTAATCGAACTTAATAATCGGCCAACTAATCGATTATGAAAATAATCGTTAGCTGCAGCCCTAATGTAAAAAGTTTATTCCCCGGAATCTAAAACGTTATAAGCATAACAAGATCCACAGTGTGGCTTTACATACATTGGATTACAGCTTTAAGTTTGTGAAAGACCCCTAAAATATACATTTTCTGAAAGCACAGGCCTGATGGAATAAAAAGATGGTCCTGCGATTTTGTACAACCCAAAATGGTTGGGGAAATGTTTATCAAAACATTATTTTCCATAAGAATGCCCAATCCGCAGTGCCATGTGTGCACAGTGTTGGTGTGCCTTGTGATATCACAATGCATGACATTACAATGTGCAGCAACATACTGCCACATAGAGAGATGAATGTAAGTAATCTGAAAAAATAAAAAACACAGGCACTGTGATGCACTGTAAAAACTTACCACAGTGCATTTACTCACTGGAGCGTGTGAGTTATGTGCACCAACAGGCCATTAATGTGTTGGAGCACCGCAGTGTACCAACACACACAACAAGGATTACCACAAAGCACATTTGTACGTTATGTCTGTGTGTGTAATTGTGTGTGAAGAAAGTTATTTCTGTTTTGGCTTTTTTTTTTTTTTAACAGTACTGTCACCAGGGGTCTTAACGGACCCCGGATGTTTATCTTTTGGGTTACAGAAAGATTGAGTCCCCTATCTCCTTTACCCTACTGCACAGCACTTAATACTGAACAAGAAAGTGCTCAATAAAGAGCACTACGACATTAATTCCCAAACTTTTCCCAATTTCCCGCTCACCATCCCGATCAGATCCGATTTCCCTCACTGTGTGCCCGCAATATGATCCCCTCTGCAACACGCTGTCTCTGCTGGTACAGGCAGGGGGGGAACAGCAGGGAGACATTAGGCATAAACAGACAGCAGGAGGACACAGAGAGATTGAGGACACAGAGCAAGGAGGCTCAGTAACAAGCAGGGCAAAGAGCAGGCCAGCAGTAGTGGCTGCGATCAGTTGCTTATCAGATGCTGATCACAGCTATTTATTAGTCAGCAGAGTCTTGGGAACCCTTCTGTTATAAATTCATGGTTGAGAGTTATTATAAACTTTCAAGCAACCAGAAACTACAGTTAACGGGACCTACAGATCCTCATAGGTGTCGGATAACTGGGAGTTTACTGTAGTTAAGTTCCTTAATTTGATTGGTATCAACCTCTTGCAGCAGGACAACGACTCCAAACATACAGCCAATGTCATTAAGAACTATCTTCAGGGTAAAGAACAAGGAGTCCTGGAAGTGATGGTTTGGTCCCCACAGAGCCCTGATATCAACATCGAGTCTGTCTGTGATTACATGAAGAGACAGAGTAATTTGAGGCAGCCTACATCCACCGAAGATCTGCGGTTAGTTCTCCAAGATGTTTGAAACAACCTACCTGCTGAGTTCCTTCACAAACTGTGTGCAAGTGTACCTAGAAGAATTGATGCTGTTTTGAAGGCAAAGGGTGGTCACACCAAATACGGATTCAATTTGGATTTCTCTTCTGTTCATTTACTTTCCATTTGTTACTTGATCAAAATAAACTATTTACACTTTTATGTCTGAAAGCATTCTTACTTTACAGCATTTTTTCACACATGCCTAAACCTTTTGCACAGTACTGTATAAAAGATTTATATTAAACAGAAGAATAATAATAATAATAATAATAATGATAATAATAATAATAATAATAATAATAAATAATAATAGTAACAAAACAGGAATAATAACAAGAAATATAACTATTATTTTTTTTTTTTTAAATACTTAAAAAAACAATATACTCTGCAATTAAAGTCTCCTTGGCATGACCTGTATTAAATATTTGTAACTGAAAGATTAATAAATAAATACATTTGAGAACTTGATTTAACCCAAATCTACTACGTTTCCCTTTAAACGGAGTAAAAAAAGGCAGAACGAGTATTAAATGGGACTTTTTGAATGGGAAGAAAGGAGGTGCTAAGCATGATTTGCCATAAACTATTTTCTTCTAATCCTAGCTTAATTTATTAAGCCTTTAAGAGGCAGTCACAACTCATGTTTTCATTAGAACACTGCAGGGAATGTCTATTATATTTTTAGCTAGATTGGGCAGTAATCACCTCATGGCTATATGCATCTATAACATAAACCAATACATAATTTAAAATGACTAAACTAGCTATAGGCAGGCAAAGCAAGCACACAGAGGTACCTGCATTTAAGTCCCCGCATCTTCTTAAGTGCCCCAAAAATCCAAAACCCCAAAGCATTTAGCTATGCGTCTAAAAACCTCAATTCCTTTATGCATAACCAAAGCTTTTTACTTCTTTTATTTGGAGTCTGGGATAGAGTGCAGAAGAGTTAGAACTAGGGATGCACCGATATGTCGGTCGAAAATGGCACTTTTGGCATTATGTGCCATTTTCTGGCTGATACAGCGGTGCATCCTATTCTCTGTGACAGGTGGCCGAGTGCTGCGGGAGAAGTGCGCTGTGAGCGGAAGGCGTTTCTCCTCCCCACATCGCTCAGCCTCCTGTCACAAATGGGGCGAGCAGTGTGTGGGGGCGGAGACAGCCAGCGCTGTCACAGGAGGCTGAGCTCTGATCGCTCAGCCTCTTGCGACAGCATTGTCAGGAAAGAGAGCAAGTACAAACACTCAGATATCAGTGATCGCTGAGTGTTTGTACATAATTGGAGGACATGGTATGTTTACTGTATCCTCAATTATGAATGAATGGGAAGTGATCTACATCATCTCCTGTTCATTCATGACTGTGGTTATAGTAAACACACTCTGTCCTCATGTTATAAATGAACAGGAACACTCAGTATAGAGGATTCCTGTCCATTGATAACAGGGGCTGCAGAAAAAGAGATTGTGTCCTCAATCTCTTTTTCTATTTTAAATGGGAAATATCAGGGGTCGGTTTAGACCCCTGATAATTTTCCCAAAGCCCCTAAAAGTAAATGTAAAAAACAACAATATTAAATTAAAAAAATGAATAAAAATAAAAAAAAACTCTTTTAAAAAGTTTATAAAAAATAAAATTTTTCCAAATAAGTTAAAATAGAAAACATTTTCGGTTTTAGCCTGACTTTTTTAAATTTCGGTTTCGTTTTTGAAATTTTCATTTCAGTGCACCTCTAATTAGAACACTATCACTGGGTGCGGGAGGAACTCATAATTTTATGGCTAAAACTGGAAATGGAGTAGAAGAGATATCTTCTTCCAGTAAAAGTCATCAGAGGTGGTATTTACACTCCCAACAATGTCTCTAAAGACATGTAGTGCAGGGAAATAAAAACCTGACTGTTTACACCCTCCCTAGAGTATGCAGAACTACATAAAAGGTTTACCTGGAGTTGTCCTTTAAGGTCAGGGCTCTGGCACTTACCCTTCTGCACCTTGCTACGGTTGCATCATTGTGAGGGGCAGCCTCAATGAAAGATACTGATGTTCATGAAGGGGTAGGCCAGAGCTTTGACTTCACAGCTGAAGTCAATATTTGAATAGGTCCTGGGCCCCCAAGACACTTGCTCAGACATCAGAAGGCATGTGTGACCACCTCTAGGGGCCTGTTTTTCAGATCTGTTTACACTTTCAAAGCTCATGCAAATGGGCATTTCGTTTTTCATAGGATCTTGCTGGCAGCAAGAAAAAAAAATAAACTTGTCTGTGTTGCATCTGAACTAACATACTCACCATATATGTCAGTATGGGCTGAATTGTACTGCCGCTGCTCAGGGAAGACATATAATCAGTGTGTAAACAGCAGACCGAGCCACTGACTACACACTATGCCTTCATTCATTCTGAATGCCAAGGACATTCTGTGTATGTGCCGCCATTACAAGAACGACCTACTGAGGGATGTAAACATCGATAGTATGTAATCAGTAGGCACTGCCCACCAATTACACACCAGACCTTCAGTCATTCTGAATGCCCAAGGACATTCTGTGTATGTGCCGCCAGTACACGAACGACCTACTGAGGGATGTAAACATCGATAGTATGTAATCAGTAGGCACTGCCCACCAATTACACACCAGACCTTCAGTCATTCTGAATGCCCAAGACATTCTGAGCATGTGCCGCTGGTGCATGAATTACCTTTTGAGGGACGCAAACATCAACAGTGTGTAATCAGCAGTGCCCAATGATTACATGTTATACTTGCATTCTGCACATATGCCACTGCTGAATGAATGATTCATTGATGCGGAGATATAGAGGTCAATAATGTGTAATCAGCAGCACTGGCTACAGATTGTTGATATCTACATGTAGGCCCAGAAGGAGCAGCAGTGGTGGCCAATAGGGTCCCCAAACCTTTGCATCCATGCAATGTAAAATATGATAGCAGTACTGTGGACGCAGAACGCAGCTCCACATTACATAGCATTTCACAGCTGTGTGCACGGGCCCATAGCATATAATATAACTGCATTCAGATCCACAGAAAATGTACACATCATGGATCAGAACACACTGGGGGGAATTTATCAAAACTGGAGCAGAGAAAATCTGCAGCAGCTGTGCCCAGCAACCAATCAGTGCCTCTGTTTTATTTTCAACTCTCAACTGAACAAATTGAAGATAGAAGCTAATTGGTTGCCCTGGGCAACTGCTCCAGTTTGTCTGCTCCAGTTTTGATAAACCCCCCCACAGTGTATTTGTGCCCATGAGAACAAAATACTGCAGGTTTATTTAGTGGGAAAAGCCACCCCAAGACAGCTGCTTTCTCATTCAAACCAGTAAAAAAGCATATATTTAGGCCAGGTTCACACTAGGGCGATCCGAGACCGCGAGGATGGCGGCATGGTCACTGAATCGTACACTGCCGCCGATCGCGCTGGCAGAGCCATTATTTTCTAATGGCACCCCAGTGGCACTATGCAGATTGTGCGGTTTCCTGCCGTGATACCACCCATGCAATCGTGGTTCAAATAAACGCCTGATGCGTGGCTCAAAAAGGAGGTACATGTACCTTCTTTCAGCGATTGCCGAGTGGATATAACCCCATTAAAATCAATGGGGACGTGCGGCAATCGCTGTGTGCAATCGTGCACGATCGCACGCGTCCTGGGATTGCCGATATCTGAACCTTGCCTCAAATAAAGCAAACCAGTAAGTAAATTGGATGTATGGTGCACACAGGCTGCATGCAAACAAACCATTTCAAGGCAATTACAACATGCACGAAGGACACAGATCCCCAGTTACAGTGTATTGCATCAAGATGATTATCAAAGCAAGGAAGGACTGTGTGCACAACATTCAACCACAGGCCAATCAGTATTGACACACGATATATATATATATATATTATATATATTTTTTTTTATTACACACACACACACACACACTTGTGTATAGGATGTATGGGGGGTGACCCACAGCGCTGTATATGAGGAGAGGGAAGGTGATGAAGCCATGTGCTGAGCCCTCCTGCTCCCTCCATACCCACCTTCTGCACGGCTCTGACGTTCTCCTCCCCGAACACATTGCTCATGGTCTGGTAGAAGCCGGTGGCCGCTTTGCGGAATGAATTGTTCTGCTTGTCGTGTCCCCGGTTCCGGGTGGCCTGGACACACAGAGTTCCGGTGAGGAGCAGTATGACGATGAGCACACCGGGCAGTCCGGAGCACAGACGAGCCATGTTCAAGCAGCAGAAGACGTCTTCCTAGGCGTTGTGATACAATGTATTAACCGCCTCCTCCCAGCACCGGAAGAACTGCATCCCCTCCTCCTCCTCATCATCATCATCCTCCTCCCTCATCAGCAGCTCTAACAGACTCTCCAGACTTTGTATTCAATAATCATTCATGTCTTTAAGAAAATCCTTCTCTTGTGACTCCTTTGTGGATGGCTATACTGGCAGCCTCATAGTTCAGTCTTCTCTGACTGGATATAGAATTAGACATAGAAATTTCCTTTCCTTCCAAATGGAAATTCCTATGAATTGTGTTTAACACTAAACTAAACCAGGACTAAGATGACTGTGCTGTACTACTGACTGACTGTACTGAAAGAACGATGTGGGCTATCGGATGTTGTCTGATTGTCATAGTCATACTCTGGCTTCAATACTTCCTCAACTATTAGCTATGGTCATCAATAACATTCTAATCAATAGCATTTGTCAGAAGGATATAAACATATGTAATATTGGCATACCTGGAGTGGGGTGAAAGGCAGTCTGCTCCGGGTACAGCCATGTGAAGGGTGCTCTAGGACCACACACTAAGGATGCTCCAAAATTTCGGTCCAAAAAATGGGCAAAATGCCAATTGTACAAAAACGTCCGAAAATGCAGTGCATCCCCAGCTTCTCTCCTCAGCGCTGGGCGCCGGATACAAGCTTTGGTCTGTGTCCCCTCTGATCCCTATTGCTCTCTTCTGCCTGTGTCAGCAGAGGCAGAGGGAATTGGAAGAGACACAGAGCCGATCCGCCTGCTGGCGCCCATTGGGGAGGAGAGAGCTGTCACAGGCAGTTCCTGTGACAGGCGGAGCAGTCAGGATGGAGAGCGGAGCAGCAACACTGAGCTATCAGTACTGATCACTCAGTGTTTGTAAATAACTGAGTAATTACTATGTCCCCAGTTATGAATGAACAGGAAGTGCTCTACATCACTTCCTGTTCATTTATGAATGGGTACATAGTAAATATTTACTATCTGCTCACTTTATGAGTGAACAGGAAGCAGTTCAATACAGAAGCTTCCTGTCCATTCATGACTGTGTTGATAGTAAATATTTACTATCTCCAAATTGTGAATAAACAGGAAGCCTCTGTACTGAGAGCTTCCTGTTCATTGAGTGCTTGGGCTGCAGAAAAAGAGACTGAGAAATCTGTGTCCTAAATCTCTTTTTCTGTTTTAAAAGGGAAATATCAGGGGTCTGTTTAGACCTTGTGTACTGTTACAATTGCCCAGCTGTTGCCCATGTATTACCACATTTGTGCATTTACATACTGTCACTACTGGCTGTTTTTTTTTATAAATACCGTACCCAAATATTGTAATTCCTGCCTATTTAGTGCCTGCATATTGTAACAGTTGACTTATGGTTGCCTGTGTATCATATACAATTACCCCTTTGGTGCCCAAGCATTGTCAGGATAGTCATTATTGCCTATGTATTGTCACCACTGTTTAGAGCACATGTCAAACACAAGGCCCACGGGCCGAATCTAGCCCACCAGGCCATTTCATGTGGCCCTCACATCTCTCTTGCAGCTGCAGCACCCCCCTCGTCTCCACCCCCACCTTGTCTCCAATACTAATCACTGATACCTGCATTTTTAAATGGAAGCTGGAGCTGTAAATAGGCGTCAGGCTTCACAGAAAGGCTGCCGAGGTTCCCAGCAAGGCACCTGTTTACACTGCCAGCCCCATATTTCCTCCTTCCTGAGGATCCAGGAGACCAACTTGGACCCCTGGTGAGACTGCACAGCCCTCCTTAGACCCCGCACAGCCACTTGAGTGTCTGCACTGTTACACTAATTGCCATTATGTTTACTAGACTTTACTTTTAGGGCTAGTTATTAAGTTGTTACTAAAAGCAGTAATAATGGAATGCAGAGGCAATTATTTAATATGATAAAGAATAGATACATTTCTATAGTCTTACAGGTACAACTGGGGCTTTGAGGGCAACCATAATGCTGATGCGGCCCACGATGAAACTGAGTTTGATACCCCTGGCTTAGAGCAGTGGTTCTCAACCTGAATAACCTCAGGACCCACATTTGTCCTCGGTCATTAAAAGAGAACTATGGGGTTATGGCTTTTCCCCATAGTTCTCCTAAGGGTAATAGGAGGACACAAACTAGCGTCCTCCGGTCACCCAAAGCTCAGTATACCGTGAGCTGTATACTGAGACGCCGCAACCGGGACGGATCCCGACAATACTGTCTGGATCCACCCAGCTGCGTGTGTGACAGCTGGTTCTGCCTATCTAGAGGCAGAGCCAGCTGTACCCGCCCCCTCCCCCGTCTGTTCCGCCAGTCAGCGTTGGAGGATCGGACAGGGGAGGGGGGAATCCCCTCAGGGAGCTGTGAGTGACAGTCACTGCCCACTGCAGGCACCGGATCGAGAGGTGAGCGAACGCCGGTATGTGTTCGCTCACTTCCCGATCTATTGAGCCGACCTGCGACAGTTTCATTGTCACATGTCGGCTCGAATTATGAGGCTGAGTGATTTGCAATATGTGCACCACTACCCTGGAATTTGATTTGATTTAGCACACAGTTATTATCCCCACGTTCTACCATGTCCAGATTACAAGATTACCTTTCTTTTTTGTTTTCAGGTTTTATTTCTCCTTTGGTCACCGGAGTACATTACTAAAAGTACTCCCATTAACCCAAAATCACAACCTGCTATCAGTTGACAGGGCAGAGTCACACCGCAGTTGAGAAGTATCATGACAGTATTGCCTGATAGCCGACCCCCTCCCCAGCCTGTAGCTCCAGCCAGTGATGGAGGATGAGAGGGGAGAACCCCTGCAGGGGGAAGTGACTGACAGTCATTGTTCTTTGCTGGGAGCAGAGACTGAGAGCTGGCTGATTAGCGTTCATGTGATTGGTCAGCTCTTGGTGAAAAGAAATAGACACTCCAATAGTAAATCGATTACGTCTATTTATTGACGTACATCAAAAGCAAAATAACACACTTAGTGCGACGTTTCGGGGACACACAGGAACCCCTTCATCAGGCAAAAAAGGTGATTTTTGTTTTGCCTGATGAAGGGGTTCCTGTGTGTCCCCGAAACGTCGCACTAAGTGTGTTATTTTGCTTTTGATGTACGTCAATAAATAGACGTAATCGATTTACTATTGGAGTGCCGGTGTCTATTTCTTTTCTGAATTACTTTGACGGTGGCCATCCATCGACTACTGAGCACCCAGGATACTTTGTTGGACGTGCGGTCAGGAGTGCAATGGGTACATGGACTGTACTGTGGTCAGCTCTTGGTGTCACAGCTGCTGTGTCCCTCGCCAATTCTAAGCCGCGGGGAGAGTGTTTTACTCACCCTGAACTTCTCATTAATTATGCAGGTCATATATACTGAAGATTGGGTATCAGGTACAGTGAGGCTCTATGTGTTTTATGTAGTGCGGATGATGCATGACATGAAGTTATATATATTTCTGCAGCTTAGAAACATCTTTAGTGTCAGGTGTTTTAAAACAATATTGTAGACAGTAATTCCTCAACACTCTGCAGCGATTTCCATGTCATTTCCTCTGCCCTACACTCATATGATGGGGTCAGCTTTCTAATGACTAACAGGCTGAGCTCAGGGGATCAGGTGACAAGCAATGAACGCAAAACTGCACACTTGTCTGTATCCTTTAAAGCAGAACTCTATTATTAACCTTGCAATGGGGCTACCAACCAACCCCCCCCCCCCCTTTCCCCAGTTTGAACACCCAATCCTTGGATCCGGCCGGCTGTGACAGCACTTCTTCCTGCCTGTCTCCTCCCCCGCTGCAGCAATGAAATGTCCCTCAGTGGCCTCACCTTCTATACAGTTTGTATAGAACGTGATGATTTACAGGACCTTAGATCCAGATGGGGACAAAGAGGCCCTGGGACCAGTCTAAAAGCCAGCTGTATCTGAGGATCAGGTGTGTATAACTTTTCTTTAGAACTTAGCCCTTGCAGTGCGGAGGTAGCACCACTGCAAGGGTTAATAATGATTTTCCCCGAAGTAATTCTATAAACTGTAAAATCCCTCTGCTTTCATCACATGATGTGTGCAAGACACAGCAGCCAATCAGTTTTCAAGTTACTGCTGACTTTTAAATCAAGATACCAGTTCTGATTGGTTAGTACAAGACACTTCTCTTTCCTGCTGTCTTATTAGACGGGGCTTCCTCTCTTATCCATACAGAGTGGTGGGGGCCTTGAAGACCAGCTGTTCTCCATGTACCCCTAAACCCAGCACCCTTATTAACCCCTATTACTACCTCCACGTATACCCAAACCAACAACGCTCGCTCCCTAGACTACAGAGGAGAAAACCGTGCACACCACTGTCTCCAGCACCGCTGTCACACGCCGCTACACTGCCGCTTGTTGCTATGGAGAGCCGTGGTGCGATTACTTTGTACGTCACTTCCGCTTCCGGTTTCCTAGGAAGCTGCATGCTCGTGTTTTCCCTGTACACACGTTGTGGGCTTCTGATGAATGTTCGGTAAAGGTAGAAGTAAGTGTCGCTTCAGCTTCTCCTGTGTTCAGGCTGAGGAATGCAGATACTGAATGTAGACACTGCTTGTTCTCTGAATGTATACACTGCATGTAACATGCCACATAGACAGTGCATGCCCTGTCTATGCCATCTCTGAATGAAGGCACTGCTTGTAACATGTCACATAGACAATGTATGCCATCTCTGAATGCAGGCACTGCGTGTAACATGCCACATAGACAGTGTATGCCATCTCTGAATGCAGACACTGCGTGTAACATGTCACATAGACAGTGTATGCCATCTCTGAATGTATACACTGAGTGTAACATATCACATAGACAGTGTATGTCATCTCTGAATGCAGGCACTGAATGTAGCATGTCACATAGACAGTGTATGCCATCTCTGAATGCAGGCACTGCTTGTAACATGTCACATAGGCAGTGTATGCACTCTCTGAATGCAGGCACTGCTTGTAGCATAGGCAGTGTATGCACTCTCTGAATGCAGGCACTGCTTGTAGCATAGGCAGTGTATGCCATCTCTGAATGCAGGCACTGCGTGTAACATGCCACATAGACAGTGTATGCCACCTCTGAATGCAGGCACTGCATGTAACATGTCACATAGGCAGTGTATGCATTCTCTGAATGCAGGCACTGCATGTAACATGTCACATAGGCAGTGTATGCATTCTCTGAATGCAGGCACTGCTTGTAACATGTCACATAGACAGTGTATGCACTCTCTGAGGGCCTGTTCACATGAGATCAGGTCCTGATCAGCAGACGTGGAGCTGCTGATGCGTTGCGTTTTTGGCCGTGTATTGGATGCGTTTTTGATGCGTTCCAGCAAAAAAATAAAACATTTTTTTTTGCTGGAGTGGGGCTGTTAGTATGTTAGCTGCAGCGCAGTGCGTTTTTGACGCGTTTGCGGACCTGACAAAATGTGACATGCAGTATTTTTTCTGTCGTAAGCTGAACGGACTGCGCACGTGAGAACTGGAGCCCATAAAACACATAGGGATACATTGGGATGCATTTTGAGTGCAGCAGCGTACGGAGCCGGTCAGCACACAAAACGGACGTCGTGTGAACAGGCCCTGAATGCAGGTGCGTTAATCGCATGGTTCAGTGTGATTAATGCACTCTGCCGTGCAATGCACCTACTGTGTGTTCCCATGGGGGAGGTATATTGCCATTCATTTGAATGGCACCCCAAATGCACATTCCTCTCACATCTCCTGCCTGCAATGCGCTCGACGCGTGGTACTGCAATACTGTGTGTTGCGGTTAAAAAAATAGTACACGCATGTGTTTTGCGGTATTAAGCGTTGCAGAGTGGTTAAGCCCATTGCAAGCCGGAGGTGTGTTTGGGATGCCATGGAAATGGTTGGTAACACACCTCCCGCACAGTAGTGGTGTTGCTCAGTAGCATGCGTTAATCACAGGGAACCATGTGATTAACGCACTGCACTAGTGTGAACAACCCCTATAGACGTATGAAGGTAACGCACACCATGGTTGCATAGGATTTTTAAAAGTTTATCTAAAGCCGCAACTTTTTCACTTTTACATAGAGTGGTGAGGGGTTAGATCCTTTGTTGCCGTCTGTGGTCTCCACATTTACCCCCTCATGTCCTAGTGAACTGCCTCCAGTAGTGAAGGTGAGAAACAGTCCAAAATTCTGACTTGTCACCAGTATGTGGGATAGAGTCTTCCAGTGAGAATAAACATTCCAGGGGCAACAGAAGGGATTTAATTAACTTTGAAGAGTTTTCCTCTAGGCTATGTTCACACCATGTCCGGACCAGATCTGGAGCTGTGCATTTTTGCCATGATTTTGGCACTTTTCGTTGCATTTTTTTGTTTTGTTGTTAAAGTGGGCTTTTAGGTGCAGTAGAGTGCGTTTGTATCCATTTTTGATGCGTTCCAGTGCATTCTAGACCTGAGAAAAATGTCACAACCAGTATTTTTTCTTTGTCTGGACCGGAACGAACTGCACTGGTGTGAACAGAGCCCAGAAATACCATATGGATACATTGGGATGCTTTTTTGGTCTGGACATGGTGTGAAGAAGCCCTTAAAGCTGAACTCCAGGAATTATATTTTTTTTGCTAACTTATATCCAGTTTGCATTTAAAAAACACATTTGATTAATTTTTCAAATGAACATCATAATTTTTTCTTTATATCTCTCCATAGTTCAGCTTTGCCATATGACAGTAGCAGCAAGACCCTGTAAACAGACTCCCGGCTGCTACAGCAGGGTTTGCTTACATGTGTAAAGCCAGCTGTTTGCTTTATACTGGAAGTGATTCCTTTACTTCCAGGGGGCATTGGAGGTGCTGTGTCAGCTGGTGGGGTGGAGGACGATCAGTGAACATCCACTGATCGTCCCTGTGCTGAGTGAACCAAAATGCAACAAGCTTTTCATCACTTCTGGTCTTGGAGCTTTCATTCCCCAGCTGCTGTGGCTGGGGATGAAGCACGATCTGTACTTGATCATCTGTATAGGAATGCAAAGGTGACATTAAGGGTCAATGTCACCTTAAAGAGAACCTGCCACTACTAATATGCTATCATATAGGAAGTTTGTGAGCACATTATGTGATGGTAATAAAGTTAAAACAAAAAAAAAGGTTTTAAAAACACCAACAAAGGTATGGAAAAGAGTATTGCAACACACATGTCGGGTATTGCTGCGCAGGCCAGAGTGAGAGAAAAAAAAAATTCTACAGCCTTTATCTACTGTTAACTTTAAATAACTACTCCGGTTAAATTGTTGTTATTACACTTTGCAAGTGGTTAGCAACACTCAGCTGACTGGAGAAAGTGAGGGACGGAAGGGGGAGTGGGCAGGCACACATGGCTCTGCCTCTCGGAAGGCAGACTCAGTTGTCAATCAGCCAGAAGGGTGGATCCTGACAATATTGTTGGGATCTTTCCCGGCTGCAGCACGGCTCTGCGCTGTTAGCATATAGCAGGAAATAGTCGGCTATGTGCTGAGTTTTGGGTCACAGGTGGACATAATAAATTTCCTCCTGTGACCCTAAAGAGAACTATGGCCAAGAAAAGGTTGGGCCATAGTTATCGTTTAATACAGTGGTACACTTATCCATCAAATCATTTTACAGTGTAAAAAGTTTGCATAAATAAGGTGTGGATGTGGAGAAGTTCAGGTGTCACCCATGAGCTGAGGGGTATTTTTCACATGCTTGAGGGAAGTTTGTCAAGGTACTGGATTATCTGTGTCAGCAATGCTATATTTTGGTTGCATTTTTTTTTTAACTTAAACCTTTGTTGCATGACTTTAAATGTTAAAGAATATGGACAATAAAAATATGGTTATTTGCAGGAATCTGGCCATGGGGAGAATGAGAAAGAGACATAACTGGAAGGCAAGGCAGCAAGTACAGTCAACAGATAATCCCTCAGATCCCAAGCAACATGTGCAAGTGGAGATTGAAGGTGGGACTCTCTCTGTAAGATAGGATATACAAATGTTATAAAATTGGGTAGAGGTTTTATCTAACTCAGTTAAATATTTTAGGAGCTGAGCAGCTAAAAGGACTGGATGAGAATAATGCGCTGGTGTTACCATCCAAAAAAGGCAAAAAGAAAAAAATTCATGAGAATGTTTCAATGAAGAAGCCTCTAAGCCGAAAACAGAAGAAAGCACTGCAAAAGGTTCTGGAGCAGAAAGAAAAGAAGAGTCAGGTTAGTGTACTTGGAAATTGTTCTGTCTTTTAGGACAGAACTCTAGGCAAGTAGTTGAAATACATATATGTGAGCTGCCTAAGGGTTATAATTCTGGTAAACTAGTTTTGAGCACTAATGGTCTCTGGAGCAAGATCTCCCCTCCCTCCAAGCATGCAGATTGGTCATTAAAGGAGCAGCAGGACGCGTTAAAGTTATCACTTTGATCTCCGTCAGATTGCTCCTTGTGAGCATGTTCACTGCAGCAGAACATGCTTTGCTCCTAGTGCTGACCCTCTCTTTTCCAGTCTGAATCTAGCTGAACTGGGGTTAACATTAGGCCTCTGTAAAGAAAAATGTAGGTACGTATGATAAATGCATGTCAAGATACATGTAATGATTGTTAAAATAAACAAAACATTCTAAATGTTATATGTTGAGGGCTGCCCCTGTTTAATGCCTTTTAATTGTAGCATTATGCCACTAGAGAAAACAACTCCTGTTCATTATCTTTTTCTTTTTTGAAGAGAGCAGATATTCTGATTAAGCTGAGTGAAGTGCAAGCTTCAGAGAAAGAGCTGAGTCTACTGTATACTACCTCCAAATTAGGTACAGGTGATCGACTATTCAGTTGTAAACGGTAAGCTATTCATGACGCACAGTACTTTTTGTGATAATGGCATTGATTAAATTATTTCTTGTGGAATTTTAATCACAACTGGGAAGCGTAGAGAAACACAAGATTCATTGTTGTCGCCATGTATGATTGATGTGGCAGACTTGTCAGAAACTCATAATGGAATATATAATAGTGAGTGACAAATCGTGGTGCTGTAGAATATGATATTTGATGTCATATTTTTATGTCATATTCATATTCTTGTTCTTAAGGTGAAAAGTTTAAAAGAGGAAAAATAGCTTCCGTTCTTGCTTGAAACTCATAAATGTGTTTAATTACAAAGTTACAAATGATTACAAAATAATAGCATAAAACAAAAGTATAGACATATGTAGATGTATTAATAAGATCTTGTAAATATTTAAAGTGTTAGTCTCTCATGTCTGTGTGTCTGTGGGTCCCTGCATGACCGCGTGTGTCTGAGTGTGAGTCCAGCCTGTCAGCGTGAGTGTGAGTCCTTTGTGCTCCAGTCCCCCCACCCTCCTCTCCGGCCATCTAGCCCCCAAGTGTAATCTGAAACTTAGACAAACTATAAAGTATGAAGGGGGATGGGAATAGAGGATTCTTGTGTTGAATGCAATAATACATTCTAATAAACTATATAATGTTACAAATACCAATATTTATACATAATTCAATGTTCTTTCTTATATGAATAACTTAATCAAGAAATATTACAGTAAAGAGATATAATACATACTTTGTAAACACTTCATAAACTTTGATTTAGAATGCCTCACAGTCTTTCTTGATAATAAGGAATGTGGGAGGTTCTAACCATTTCTGCTTGATCAGTAACAGATGTATAGCAAATACAACCTGAACCACAGACTCTAATCTCATTGCGTATATTCCCATACTGAACAAATGTATATATAGAAAATCAATCATCACTTATGTTCATCACATGCATACATAATCCCTATATGAATAATACCCTTTAACAGGTGCAATATATTTGATTTACCATTCTGCTTTATGCAGCTGTCTCCAGTGCATATTGCCACCCTTATCATTGGCATTTTGGCTTTCTTTAGGTGCAGGAATTTGCAGTGTGGCCTGCCATGAAGAGTGCTTATATTTGCTCCGTGTGAGCTGTCTTGTCCACTTTCTGTTGTATTACTAATGACAAGTAACATGACAGAGTAGCAAGGAGGGCTGGATTGGTGCTCTCCCGTTCCTCTTGTTTCTCTCACTGATTTTAGAAATATGTCAAGCTATGTGTAGCCTTATAGCTACATAATCCTTCTTTTAGATTTTCGATTATGCAGCGCCAACACAGAAAGATATACTATATAATGTGAACAAATATTAGTGACTGTACAATGTAATGTGCATCGTGATAAATAAATGGATATGAAGGCTGCAGCAAAAAAAGACCACACGGGTCAAAGCATAAACATTTTTCAATTATGCAGCGCCAACACAATGGTAAATTAGTGATTCATTATATAACGTGAACAAACACCATTAATTATATAATGTGAATAAGTGTTATTCAGTGAAACTAAATCAAATACATGTGAAACTGTGTCCACTTTGGAAAATTTTTTAAAAAACCTGCTAAACCCCTGAGGACGTTGATAAGACGAAACGCGTCGGGGCGGGCCTAACCTCACGCTACACCAGATACAGGATTTTGTAGTTTTGCCGATCGGAACATTTTTCTTTGAATTTTTTTTTGGTCTTTGCCTGTGGATTTCGTTGTTTTAGTGTTATTTGATTCGAATTAAATCCTTTTGAAACTTCTACACTATGAGAGGTCTTTTTCTTGTATGATCCCGAAGATAAACCATTTACCGGTCACAGACCGTCGAGAGTTGCAGCGGGAACACCAACTTCAAGAGAATTCATTTCTCTAAAAGCTCTTCAGGCTGCTTACCACAGCCACTACATTGTGGTGAGTATATACCCTGAGGGGATTTGCCGGCATCCCCAAACAAACATCACGGAACTGTTTCCTTAATTCACAACCTGCTCATGCTTGGAACACTTTTTTGTTATTCACGTGTTTAAAAAAGAAAACACTCGTTGGACTCTTTCACTCTGTATTTTATTTTTTTATTTTTTCCAAAGTGGACACAGTTTCACATGTATTTGATTTAGTTTCACTGAATAACACTTATTCACATTATATAATTAATGGTGTTTGTTCACGTTATATAATGAATTACTAATTTACCATTGTGTTGGCGCTGCATAATCGAAAAATGATAATCCTTCTTTTGCCTTTTAGTTGTCTTATGGACCAAAAAAGTTTAACATGTGCACTCAATTCTCGTATGCCCTTAAACAATCAAACAGGATGCAAAAAATGTGTCAGCAGTTATAACCCCGTGTCCAAAGCGGCAAACTGTATTTGATTGCTGCTAGGCTCTTAAAGTGGAACTGAAGTTATACATATTTTGGTCTCCCATCACTCTTCCTTACCTGTACATCTGATAAACTAAGTGCTGGCACCAACATTGACACAATCTCCTGACTTCGGCCTGGGCATGCCCTGGCAGCCTTTTTTTTTTATTAAGGGGGCAGCAGGTTGTGCACATGTAGTATAGCTCCATATTTAAAAATGGGAGAATTGCATAGATCCAAACAGCTGATGAAGAAAAATACTTCTAGATTGGGGCAATGCCACAGCTATGCTATGATTTCACTTCTCTACATATTTCTTTGAATTGAGTGCACGTGTTGGGGGGTGGGAGTAGGTGGAAAAAAAAAATAAGATCCAATTGTAAGTTCATTCATGTTATGTTTGGCAGCCTATAGTGTCTTTAATGCCACTGGCAGTGATGAGCATTCTGCCAAGTCATGCAGAACATTCTTCTATGACTCATTATATAGATCACTAGAAGATTCTGATGGCCCATCTCAAGGTCACATAAGCAGCATCAGTGGAGCCAATAAGAAGCGCAGGCGACGGTCTGAGGAAGAGGAGGCTAGCGAAGAATCTGATAATGTTGCGCACACTGACAGCTCAAGTGAGGAGGAGGAGAAGGAGGAGGATGATGATGAGGACACCGCAAATGAGGAATTGGGGAAGGATCTGGATAATGACAATTCCACAGTGCAGCCTGTAGCAATACCAGCCTTACAAAGCTCTCATCCAGAAGCCAAGCCTCTTCCTACAGAAAAGCAACCATCAACAACCCCCTCATCAGAACCAGCTATTTTTATCCCTGTGGACAGGACTCCTGAAATTCAGGTTTGCATGATTCTGGTCATTGACATTTCATAGTATTTCCTTTTAATGCACATATGTAGTACTGATGTGGCTTGTATAGGGAGAAGAATACCTGTATATGCATATAAGGGGTTTAAGTTAAAATCCTCACTTGCAGGACATAAAATGTGTAAATAATTGTGGACAGCAGAGTGCAGTCAAGGGAGAGAGTTTCTATTTGATAAAACATTAACCCTTTACATTTTTCCTGCAGTCTTCTAGCTGGTCTTGTGATAACATGGGCTGGGGCAGGGTTGGCATCACATGTAAGTGCCACTCACAGGTAAAGGGCAAAATGCTTTGAGTGCTCTGAAGAAAGAGGACTGGCGGCACTTGATGGAAGAGGAAGCCGGGGACAGTGCAGAAGAGTTAAAAGGGCAATTAAAAGTTGGGCACCTTTTTCCTTTATTAAAGATGGAGCTTAAATGCTGCACCTTATTTGGGGAAATATAGTCTGTGGTGTCTTTTGCGCTATTCATGGCTGTTTTTATTATACTGAGCTAGTGTTGACATCTACCCTAATTTATGGAACTGCCCACTCCCCTTTCTATCCTCTGTTTTATTTCAGGGGTGGAGGTTGTCTCCAGCAAATTCCTCTACACTTTATATAGCATTTGCTGGATAACTGTACTAGGCAAACCTTGCCTTAACTTAAACCATGCCCTGCAGCATTTACAGTAGTATTTTGCTTTAATTACCATCAGGCCTTAAAAATGAACTGTTTTATCTTACAAGTTATGTGTAAATATATCAGATTTTTTTTTCCGAATATAGGAGGCCAGGTTAAAACTTCCGATTCTAGCAGAGGAACAAGTCATTATGGAAGCCATAAACGAAAACCCTGTTGTAGTTCTGTGTGGAGAGACTGGCAGTGGAAAAACCACCCAGGTGCCACAGTTTCTGTACGAAGCTGGATATGGAAGGTGGGCTTTTTATCTTTAAATAAACGCATTATAATACATTTTTTACCTTCTTTGACTGAAATGACAGTGTTTCTGCTTCCACAACATGGAAGATAGGGAATGAGCATATTTTACATAATGGTACTGAAATGCAATTTCTCTGAAAACATATATTGAGGAACACAGCGGACCACTGAGGGAAATAGCTCTGCCTACTATAGGATGATGGATAAAAAGCAAAAGTGTATGCTTTTCCATCAGTGGTCTATAACAGGAAGTGAGGGACCACATTTAGCCTAGTGTTCTAAGAAGTAGGAAGACTTAGCATAGGCTGTGCAATAAATCAGGATATGTATACAGCACAAGCCTTTAAGTGCCTGAAAAAAGCATGTGCGGAATACAAGAAAGAAAGCATTCCAAGCACCCCTTCAGATGTACAATGCCTTTACCATCAAACATTTTCAGTGTTTTCCCGGTTACAGTCATTCCCTTTCTTAGCCAGCCAGTCACTGCAGACCTGTTGTATACATAAACTGTGATTCTTTTTTTTTTTTTTGCCATTTGCCAATTAACTGTTGTTCTGGTTGTATGGGCACTTTGTTTAACGTTTTTTGCATTCTTTTTTTTGCTTTATAGTAACAATGACATAATAGGTATTACTGAACCACGACGTGTAGCAGCAGTGACCATGTCACAGAGGGTGGCAATGGAAATGAACTTGCCTCAAAGGTTAGTATAATCTAATGAAATGTCACTGAAAAGCAAGTTTAACAGGGCTATTCACAAAAGCGTGAAGAGTTTGGAGAAGGCAGGAGAAGTGAACTATATATACTTGTATACTTATTAGTATATAGAAGAAAGCTGTGACAACTGTGCAGCCCGGTAGTAACAAAGCAAGTTAGGTACCCCTGAACTCTCGGTTTGTAGAGAATGGCTCGAGAAATTCTAGAACGTTTGTCGCCCCAAATAAAATTAATAATGGAGGTTTGTAGTTTAAGGAGTTCAGCCCGTTGAACCGGGATTGGTAAAGTTCTGAAGTAGTACAGGATTTGGGGAAATAAAGTCATTTTAACTGAATGAATACGGCTCATCCAGGAAAGGTTGTAAGTAGACCATCTCGTCATGTCTTCCCATAGTTGTTTATAAAGTAAGGGATAATTAGCAGAGTACAGTTGGGTATAAGAGGGAGTAAGTTTAACTCCAAGGTACTGAAGAAAGTCAGAGCGCCATTCGAATGGGAAAGAATTTTTAAGCGCCGACCACAGCTCAAGAGGAAGGTTGATATTGAGGGCCACAGACTTAGAGGCGTTGACTCAGAGACCTGATATCCGTGCATACTCTTCTAAGAGCACCATTATGTTAGGTAATAAAACAAGTGGGGAGGTTACAAAGAGCAACATATCATCTGCGAACAGAGTGCATTTATGTTCTTCCGACTGACATTGTATCCCTCTGATGTCTGGGCTACCTTGGAGCAATATAGCCAGAGGTTCTATCGCTATGGGAGGGAGGTGCCTAAATGTAGAGAGTTAATGAAGGCTTCCATATGATGTGCCAAGACCTCTACATACTTTTTATAATAACTGATGGGTAAATCATCTGGGGCTGAGGCTATTTTCACCATTTTAATGACCGTTTTAACTTCTAGCAAAAAGATGGGAGCTTCTAAAATTTGCATGTGTTCTGGTGATAAGACAGGAATTGAAATGTTACTAAGAAATTTAGCAATTCGATCCCTTGTGGTCCGAGTTTGGGGTTCGTATAATGAAGAGTAACAATTATGGAACTCTTGAAGTACTTTTTGGGGGTTCTGAGTATAGTTATCAGTTCTACATCTAATGTTGGGAATTGGAAAGTTACGAGTGTTAGGAGACAGTTTAGTTGCCAATAGTGTACCTATTCGATCTTTATGTGAATAGAATTTGTTGTTCGACCAACAAAGGCTTTTTTCCGCCTTTGTAGTCAAAAGCAAATTCAACTCAGTTTGTACACTTTCGATGTTGTGAAGAAGCGAAGGACAGGGAGATTTTTCATGTTGTTGAGAGAATAGCTTTAACTTAGCCTCCAATTCAATTATTTGTTTGGAAGTTTTTTTTTGTTTTTTTTTAGTCTAGTGGATTGTTCAATGAATGAGCCCCGGATGGTCGCCTTGTGGGCCGCCCAAACCATAATTGGGGATACATTTGGGTCAACATTCAGTGTAAAATAAGAAGCTAGTCGTGTTGATCTTTCATTACTTAACAAGGGTACACTTAACAGAGATTCGTTTAGTCTCCACTGAAATGGCTTTTTAAAATGTCGGCAATGAGAAAGAGACATCGTGACCATAGAATGGTCCGACCACACGATATCTTTAATATGAGATGAGGTCACTAAACGGGTCAGAGAAGAGGAGACGAATATATGGTCTATTCTCGAGTAAGTCCCATGGACGTGAGAGAAATGTGTGTAGTCTCTTATTGTAGGATTCTGTTCTCTCCAGATATCTATCAAAGAATGTGTACGCAGTATTCTAGCAAAGGCCAGCCCTGCTTTTAGAGTGGGTTTGGGCTTGGGCGATCCTTTTACATGTCCTATCTAAGCTAGAGTCTAATGCGATGTTAGAATCTCCTGCACATACTATTGTGCCTTCGATATGTGGGAGCAGGGTGCTAATTATAGAAGAAAGAAATAACATTTGAGCCGTTTTTGGGGCAAAGTAGGATATAAGTGTAAATAAATGTTCCTTAATATATCCTTTAAGTAAAATATACAGCCCCTCTAGGTCTCTGACCTCCAAGGAAGAGAGAAAGGAGACCCTTTTAGAAAAGCATAGCCACCCCCTTCGTTTTGCCAGATAAAAATTGGGAAAATGTTTGTGGACAAAAGAAGGTATAGGCAACTGGGAAATGCGTTTCTTGTAAAAATAATACATTGATATGATGTGAATGATAATTTTGGAAGGCCTTCCTTCTCTTAATTGGAGAGTTCAGACCCTGAGTGTTATGTGAAGCAAAAACTAAAGGATTACCTACTACCCTGTTTCCCCTAAAAGAAGACCTACCCCGAAAATAAGACCTAGTACTATTTTTGGGAATTGCTAAAATATAAGACCTACCCCGAAAATAAGACCTAGTTGTGACCATTCCCAGGGACGATGTTGGCATAAGGGGGAACTTGAAGAGCCGTGGGAGAGAATCAGCGGTGCCAATGAAGCCAGGGCTAGAGGAAGCGAGGCGGCAGCGGAGGGAGCAGAGCCGCATAAGCCTTTTTCAATAGCGCTGGCTCCTGTCACTGGCAGAGTGATACCAAATGCCCTCCGCCTGTGAGGGATCGATAGTGAAAGTGCGTTTCGCTCATTCTGGCCAGCGATTGGTTACCAAATTGCTCTTGGAAAGGTACGGCACCACTGATTGCCCTGATCACCCTATTCTTAACTTTGCCATTTTGGATTATTTAATTTGGATTTGCGTTAACTTTGGATTGTTGTACATTAAAAAAAAAATCAGACCTACCCCGAAAATAAGACCTATTGTGTTTTTTTGAGCCCCAAAAATATAAGACAGTGTCTTATTTTCGGGGAAACACGGTATATTGGAGGTCATAAAGAATCTAGGTGCCAGCTATAATTCAGGCTGCACAGTCTGCCACAGCTCTCAAGGGACACAGAGAAGTGATATCCGGAACCTCCCGGAGTCTGCCTTGATAGGAAAGAAAGGAAAATAAAATTTTAGAAGCAAATAAAAAAACTAACAACGTGTCGGGGGAGAAAATCTCCCGTCCATATCAACCAACGAGATCAACCTCGGTTGATCAAAGGTTTGGTCTACACCACGGGAAACCCCGGGAGCTAGAGCAAACTAGGCGCACGACCACCTTCAACGGGCAGAGCCCACCCCTAATGATAAACAATGTAATGATATAAATAAAAAATGCGGTTACATATCCATAACAATATCGGTCTGGATCCTATAATGATAGAAAAAAAATTACATCATAAACAATATTTGCAGAATGACTTGCAAGCCTCAGTTTTCTATGGCTTAAGCAGAAGCTTGAGAGGAGAAAAGTTCCCTTCTGCCTGACTTCTCCCACAATGGCAAAAGTTGACGTTTCGCTTGTAGTGAGGTTGACTGCGTGGAAGAAGTAGGGGGTGACGTATGATCTTTTAGGGTAATCCCCAAGTGATTCATCAATTTTTCACCCTCAGGGAGGTTGGTAATAGAGTAAGATTGATTCTTATAAGAGAATAGTAGGCGAAACGGAAAAGCTCACCTATACTAAACGCCTTGTTGTGCAAGAGCCAATAGCAATGGTTTCAAGGAGCGCCTTTTTTGGATGGTTGCAGGCGAGACATCTGCAAAAATCTGTACTCGATGACCCATCAATAACAGTTCTGGTGCTATTCTGGCTTTCTGCACAACTAGTTCTTTTATACGATAAAAATGCGTTTTGACAATAATATCGCTGACAATAATATCGCGCAAAGCTGTTAAAGCGCGATGAACTCTGTCCAGTTCCAGTTGTGTGTTTGTAATGTAAGGGAGTAGATCTTTGAGGAAAGATTGGACAGCAGGTTTCAGATCTACTATGGATTCTGAGACACCTCTAATCCTAAAGTTGTAACGTCGAGATCTATTTTCCAAATCATCAATTTTAGATAACGCATCCTCTAATTGCCTCTGAATATCTTGAGTGCAGGAGGTATTTTGATGAGTGTGGGAGATTGTTGCATCTATCTTATTCTCAATCGATTCAATACGAGCCCCCAGATCTTTCAAGTCTCCCCTGAGATCCGTAGTGATCTGCAATGCCGTGGAAGCTAGTCCACGGTCAAGCATGTTAGAGAACTTTGAAATGATAATCAGAGTCTTGTGGGGAGTTAGCAATGTCACTCTCTTGTAAATCAGAGCTGGAGTGCTCATGTGTGTAGTGTCTCATACCTGTGATCGTGCGGTCCAGCAGGGATAATGTAGATGCTTGCGATATCTGGTCTGGCGAGTCCTTCTCTGCAGGGGCTGTAGGTGAGGAGGTGAGATCTGTGTCTCCTGCTTCCTCCCGCATCTCGGACTTATCAGCTCGATCTGCCGCCATCTAAGACGACGTTCCTGTGTATTGCGGACCTTTTTTCACTCGACTCTTAGACCCCTTTTGTTTGCCTCCCGCCATATCAGGGGCGCTGGGTTCAGAGGTTCGGAATACTGTGGATTGCGCTCTTGGTCAGGACCCTCTTGCTGAAGGGGTGGGTAGTCTAAAGCCCGTCGAGGTGTGGAGCTCCAGGCTTACGCAGCCATCTTGGAAGCCTCGCACATGCGGCCCTAGAATTATCCTCTTCACCCTTTTGTGAAGAAGTAAGTAAGTCTTGAGGGATCAAATAGTACTGATACTGTAGAGTGGACCAAAATATTCAGCTGATTGGCCTGGTAGTCAGACAACCGTATCGTTTAAAAAGAAAAGCCGCAAAATCAGAGACCTGCTATGCCTTCATCTAGGAAATCAATGCTTGGTCTCATCAACTAGTACTCCTTAAAATTGGTCAGTGAGGCTGCCACAACGATGGGCCTCTAGTAAGACATTGGAATGGTCTAGAATAGTAGAGTGCTTCTGGGGCCGCCTAGAAAAATGATCAAACAAGCAGTCCCAGGAGCTACTTATTGCTACATACAAGTGATAGATGACAATTTGAAAGACTGGGCATCATTTATGGGCATATTCATAAGGTATTGCATGGTCATTTTAACTTTTTTGCCAACTGGATTGACCCACCTGTTTGTAATGATAGATCAAACATCATCTGTGATTGTATTGTAAATTGCCACAATGCAAATTAAGAATTTAGTGGTCATTTGAGTCTAGTTGTGCCTTAATGCCACTGTCATTCAATGAAACCGGTTTTCTTTTTTTAAACAGTGTTTAACCAGTTGACATCCGCGGTGTTAAACCCCCTTCCCATCCAGGCCATTTTTCAGTATTCAGCGCTGCAGTACTTTCACTGACATTTATTCCGTCATGCAGCGCTGTACTGAAATGAATTTTATACCCTTTTTTGGGGACACAAAGAGCTTTATTTTGGTGGTATTTAATCACCACTGGTTTTTTTATTTTTTAATATATTAAGGAAAAACTACAGATTTTTTTTTTTTTTAAAAAACAGTTCCCCCTATATTAAATTCTAAAACATTTATTATTACCAAATTTTTTGGTAAAATATAAAAGACGGGGTCACAAGAGACACCAAACATGTCAAGCCTTAAAATTGCGCATGCGCACGAAACCTCAAAAAAACTACATTACCCAAAATTGGACATAGGCGACGCATTAAAAGCTTTTACCGCTCATCAGTTTAGTGTTATCAGCGATTGATGGCCCTAAAATGATTGCTCTCTCTCCGACATTCACTTCAGTTTGTAACATGTGTAGCGCAATTGTCATTTTCGCGTGCTGGCGCATGCGACGCATATTTACGTTTTATATGTGCGTAAACGAAGGGGGGGGACTTAAACATTGGGGGGGGGTTTACTTTTTTTATTTGTGACTTTTATTTTTTTTTAACATTATTTTTTTTACACTTATTGTTATTGCTATTACATAGGGGGATACGATCCCCCTATATAAGAGCACAGGTACACTGACAAGTCCTCTTTATGGAGACATTAGGGGTCTCTAGACCCCTAATGTCACCTGGAGACCCCAAAAGAAGCTGATGAAGCACAGATTTGCTTCATCAGCTTCTTCTCTCTGGCAGTAGGAGCCAGATGACTGACAGGTGAATGCGGAAGTGATGTAATGCACATCACTTCTGCATTCACACTACAGAGGGAGAACAGCAAGGAGCTGATCTCCCTCCCTCCTCCTCCTGACGCCCTCCCGAGCCGGTCCCGGGCCGCAGATGGGCTAGCGGATCCCGGGATTAAAGGTGAGGGGTCAGGAGGGGGGAGATGGCGGCACTCGCGATTGGGGGGGGCGCTCCGAAATTCACGCCATACAACCGATCGGCGGCTATAGAGCCGCTGATCGGTTGTATGTGAAACAGCCGTTAACGGCTGTAGTAACGAGCGGGTCTTTCCTGCCCGTGCGCGCGCGAGTGAGCAGGAAGAAAATGCCGTCTGGCGACTGCAACCCGCTCATGCGAGTCTGCCGTCCGTCCGTTTTTTCTTAACGGGCGGACGACAAGAGGTTAATGAATGCGTAGATGATGTCTGGACATCTCACTCTCGTTCCATTTTCGTTCAAACAGCCCATATTGCGCAGATCAATGTAGTTCGCAATTAACGTTCGTCAGCACCACTAACTGGCCGATTTTTGTCGATCGAAAGAACCGGTTTTCGTTTGAACTTGTGCAGTTTTCAGCTTGAGAATTTTGTTGTACAAAAACGTCACTATCCGTCGATTTTCTTCCAACTAGACGAAAAGATCCTAGCCTGCTTGAAGGACAGAAATCTGCCAGTTGTACAGTAATTGCGGTTGTGCACTTCCCATCAATTGGCAGATTATTGGATGAAAATGGGATCGCAGATAATTGTAAGGTGTATGGGCACCTATAGTTTACCTTTTTGAAATTGAATCACATCTTCACCTTCCCTCTTTTCATAGCCTTTATGCATGGTTGCATTAAATATGCGGCTTTTAGCTTTGTTTGTATTGTCACAACAAAACTCTGGCACTTTTGAAAATCTTTGCAAATGCATTTTACACATATATTAACAGCATTTTCTACTTTTATTTTCTTTTAAGTGTGGTCTCTTATCAAATCCGATATGAAGGGAATGTCTCTTCTGAGACCAAAATAAAGTTTATGACAGACGGTGTCCTGCTGAAAGAAATTCAAAAGGTGATTATATCCGTACCTGCTGTTAGAAATATATATTCTATCTGGACTAGGTGAACCATAGGAGTCCATAGGCAATGCACCTTCCAGAAAAATGATGATGGTTCCTACATTTTGGAGCCCTATTTTTTGGCTCCTCAAAGACCATTTCCAGTCTAAAACCCGTTTTAGTTTTTTGCTACTCTATAGCCTTCTGACAGCACAGCTTACATGGAGTAGAGTAGAACAAAGAGATGTTCCACTATAGCAGCTGGATTTCTAGGACCCTTCTTCCAGTTGACCAACTGAGTGTGCCTGCCCTGCAGATGATATGTTCATCCTTAATGTCTTGGTTAGCTCAGCTTTTGGCAGTTGATCAGACAGTAGGATTGATGATCAATCCATCTTCTCCAAGTTCTACTAGCGTTAAAGTAAGCAGTGCCTCACTCCAGATTTCTGCTGCACGCGTCCCTTGGTTCAGTATATGAATATACTAAATAATACTTGTGACTGGAATTCCTGTTAACCAAAAATATGCAATTGTATAAATTGAGGTGGTCATTCTTAAATACTTTTATTTTATAATCATCCATCCAGAATGCTAATATGTAAGACATCGTTTTTATTTTGTTTCAGGATTTCTTGTTAAGCAAGTACAAAGTCATAATAATTGATGAAGCTCACGAGAGGAGCGTGTACACCGATATTTTAATTGGCCTCTTATCACGCATTGTTCCTCTCCGCACAAAGGTAACTTTTCTTATATCTTGCTTTCTAATATTGCTATAATATTCCTGCCTTGATTATTTTAAAAATGGTGTTTTCTTACTATTTTTATCATACATTTTTTTTTTTTTGTCATAGCTGTCCCATGAGTGCAAATGCCCCCTACCAGAAATCCAGTGCTGTCCTGTGCACTTTGCGGTGTTATCGCATTGTTATCAGGAAGTATGTTGGGACTACACAAATAGAGGAGAGTGTTCTGTAGTTCTAGTACACTTCTTGTCCTTGAATGACAAGGCTACTTCTACTTAGATACAGTACAGTGAGTGAGTGTTGTCACCCTAAGACAGGAAGACTGACAGGATCACCAGATGAAAAGTAGAGGGGGGAAATGCAGCCTGGAAAACAGAAAACTAATACCGGCACCACATTTAAGGACTTGCCAGCTGCAACATATTTAAAGTTTTGTTTACATGCACTTTAAAGTGACACTAAATGTAGAACTTAAAGTGACATTAAACCCTCAGATTTTTTTACATAAACCAATACTGTAATGTGTGCCTTACTGTAATCCATGGTTGTTTCCCTTCTCTTTGCTACTCTTCCTTTTAAATCCTCATGTCTTCTCATGCTTGGGGAGAACGTCCCTTTGCAGCTCAGGACCTCTTCCTGTAGTGCTGGCTCAGGTTACAAGCCTATACAAACGTATACACAGACACCGTTTATCCATTCCTGAGACAAGGCAGTCTGCTGCAAAACAGAAGTTCTGCAGAGCATGAGAACAGATACAGATTTAAAAGGAAGAGGAGCAAAGAGAAGGGAAACAACCATGGATTACAGTAAGGCACACATTACATTATTGTCACTTTAAACCTTAAAAATGCATTCAACTACCCTAACTATTACACAAATCAGATATACATTTTTGTTATCACTCGGCTGTAGATCCTCAAATTATCTCTGAATTTGTGCTGACACTGTCCTTCCTTCTGGAGGGTGGCTACTTTTGTTCCCCATGGTCCCTCTGTGTGTTGTAAAGTAGTCACCGCTCCAAGCTCGCTCCTGTGATGGACTACAATATCAATACAAATTTGTAATCTAAACATGAGATTGTAGTTCATCACAGGAGAGAGAGCTTGGATTGGTGACTACTTTACAGCACACACGGGGACCATGGAGAATAAAAGTAGCCCCCCCTCCAGAAGGAAGGACAGTGTCAGCACCAATTCAGAGATGATTTGAGGATCTACAGCTGCGTGATACACAAAATACAGTTTTGTTAATGGTTAAGGTACTTGAAATGTATTTTTAAGATTTCTCCTCCTGAGTTTAGAGTCACATTAATTTCAATTTAGTGAGCTGTCTGATGACTACAATGTTTCCTATATATAGCAATAAATGTTCTTTGTTACCTGAAATGTCTGTTTAGTGGCAACAATCGTTTTCTTATTGCAACTTTATTACAGAAAGGGTGTCCTTTAAAATTGGTGATTATGTCCGCTACCCTGCGTATTGAGGATTTCACTGAAAACAAGAGGCTTTTCCCTGTGCCTCCTCCAGTAATTAAAGTGAGTGAGATATTCCTCTGTTCATTTACATAGCTGAACTTTACACATTTATGGGTATAGCATACATGCTTCAAACTCAGTGTTGCCTGTAAGTAACATGTCCTCTTCTGTTGGTGGTAATATGTTTCACATGTGCTTTGGGTGCTGCCCATCATAAAGGGACAATATTTATTAAAAAAATGTTTTATTGTGTGTATCTGCACACGTTCATATTGTACTTGTCCTAGTCTTGCCTTCCCATAGTGTGTGTGTGTGCATTTTTTTAATGGTCAGATCTATTTTTTACATTTGGTAAATATGAGCCATTACATTTTTAGCTAGCTTATCAGCTGCTTCTAACATGTTTTATGGGCTCTCCTTTGCCCCTTTGACATTATGTACCTGTTTACAAAGCTAATTCTCTCTTTCTGAAATCTGTACACAATGAATGATTTGTGGCAGAGATGTCTACCTTATCAGTATGGCATTGTTCATGGGTTCAGTCAGACAGAAAAACCAAGCCTGAAGGCAAGCTGCTTTGTTATACTGTCTCTTTGGATAACCCTCATTGCACTGGAAATATTTTCTCTTGTACTAAGTGTGTGTAAAAACAAAGATTGTATACACATAGTAAAAAAGAAATACATTATAATTTCCCTTTTAAGTGGTAATGGCTATGAGCTCTTATCAATTTTGTAGATCTACTTCATAAATAACACTAAAATGTAACCCAAAAATAAACACGACTAGACTGATTTAGTTTTATCCAAATATCAATACATACAAAAATGTATGTTTGCATTACAGGCATACAATTTGCTCTTATGTCACATACTGAACAGTTTGGATGGCCATAGACTGATAATTACAAGCAATAAATCCAATACTGAGCATGGTTACAATCCCCCAGGGCAGAGGTGCAGGGAGATTTTTCGCCTTTTTGGCATAGCCATGCATGTTGGCCCTATCTTTTCTTGGAAATGTGTTCATGTACATTGTTGCATGCTAAGCTGTTCTTCAGATAAAATTGCAGCGGGTTCCACCTCATTCATGAATGGTCAGATATCTTCCCTTCTCTCATTCACAGGAGATATCTGCTTATGTATGGTCACCCTTAAGGTGCCCATACACCTTACAAATATCTGCAGATTTTCTGTGGTCAGATGGAAAAAGTGCAACAGATTGGCCCAGGTGGAGATTACTCCATCCACACAGTTTAGCGTAGATGGAGGAATCTGTTGCACCTTTTCCATCTGACCACAGAAAGTCTGCAGATAAATCGTAAGGTGTGTGTGGCCAGCTTTAGCCAGCTACACTTCAATATGATTCTAACTAATAGTACAAAGTTATGCTTACTCGCATAATAAGCGGGAATTGCTAGATTCCAATTAGCTTTTTGTTGCATATTTAACGTTGTTCCTCCTTAATCCGCTAAATCCTATTAGTAGTTTCTAGTCCCCTCCTGCACTATGCAGTCATGCAGGGATTTACTGCATACTTAACATTTTCTCAGGAATAATGGTAGCACAGGGTATGTAATTTGTGTGCAACAGGTCATGTTTAATTGCCACCAGCTCTAGTAATGTCCAACATGAAAGCAAGTCTGTACAGAATTATGTTTAGTGTAGTGGGTGAAAGTCCCATTATAGAAACGCAATGAGAATTAGCATCCTGTCATTCTTATCAGCATTACAAAACTCAAGTATACTTCTGCTGCATTACTGCTTTTGGAGATTAGTTCTGTATTAATACATTGTTAAAGGAGAACTATGGGGTCAGGGCTTTTCCCCATAGTTCTCCTTAGGGTAACGGGAGGACACAACCTAGCGTCCTCCCGTTACCCTAAGCTACAGCTCGCGGTATACTGAGACGCCGGAGCTGATCCCCGACATCGATGTCGAGATCCACCCAGCTGCGTGAGTGACAGCCCCTCCCCTGTCACGGCAGAGAGCCGTGACAGGATCGAGAGGTGAGCGAACGCCAGTATATGTTCGCTCACCTCCCGATCTACTGAGCCGACCTGTGACAGTCTTATTGTCTCAGGTCGGCTAGAACTATGAGGTGAGTGAAAAGCACTCACTTCATAGTTCTCCTTTAAATATAAATATATAATTTTTTTTCCCACAAATAGATACATGTAGTCTATTTGCTATGGCAAAGGTAAAAAGTAAAATGATGTGCTTTGCAGACCCCAGACAAAAGTAAATTCTGCCTGTAAAAGAACATGCATTTAGAGTCTGGAGCATGGTATGTAAGCTGTTTATTATATACATGTTTTATTTTATACATTTCAGGTGGATGCCAGGCAGTTCCCAGTCACTGTCCACTTCAATAAGCGTACCCCATTGGATGATTATACTGGGGAGTGTTTTAGAAAGATCTGCAAGATTCACAGGATGCTTCCTCCAGGTAGAGACTTGTAGATTGTAGGAGAATGTTCATTATATAGTAAGGGGCACAATTAGTAATATTTCTAGCAAATTCGTACTAGTACTAATGTGGCATTAGAAGTAGTTATATATGATGCCAACTTCAAACGCTTCTAATGTAAAATTATGTGCTTTTTTTCAGGAGGCATCTTGGTCTTCCTCACAGGACAAGCAGAGGTGCATTCCCTTTGTAGGCAGCTGAGAAAAAGGTTTCCGTATAGTGGAAGAAATCAAGCAAATTGTGAGATTCATACAACAGCAAAATTATTATTTTTTTATATGTGTATTTCCTTTTTACTTAAACATGATAATATGAAACAGGACAGAACTAGATAAACACTTGGCAGAGAGAGAGATTCTGTGCATGGGGTCAGCCCACACATGTATTGCAAAAAGTTTTTATATTTAATTATATTTTCAGTATAAGTTCACGTCACAAAAAGAATCGTTACAAACGTTCATACATAAAATCTCGTCAAAACATTTTATAATGCCATCAGGGACTTGTAGAAAGCCGTTTGAAATTCAGTTTGGTTCTAACTTTCGATTGTGAAATGCACCACGTTCACTGTTAGAGCTGCAACAATGAATCAACTAAGTCGTTTTCCATCATCGATTAGTTTGCCTTCTTGCAGCTCGCCACGTCATTTCCCCGCCGCACGACATTTCTCCTCCGCGCTGCGCCGCACGACACTTCTCCTCCCCGGAGGGCTTCCAGGTACCGCACATGCACAGCGGCCACGTTGCTCCACCCTACCTGAGTCCGGGGCGGCTTCACTGGGTCGCAGACGCCAAGCCGCTAATGGCGTGCCTCATCCAATCGGAGCGCCTCTTGTCATGCTGTGCGTGCAGCGTTGATGTTTGAACCCCGTGAGCAATGTTAGTACTGTGTATGAAAATATACGTGGTCACCGTAGGAGAATCTGTTCTCACGGCCGGGGTTGATGGACTACAATCTCAATACAAACTAGTAGTCCCATCACTGAAGCCTTTTTTTTTAACCGATTAATTGAACTTAATAATCGGCTAACTAATCGATTTATTATTGCAGCACTACTGTTAGAAGTTTGTTTGAGAAAAATCCATCCTGCTTCCATTTTTTTTTAATCACTGAGGTTTCCAACGATCATTGATTCCACCCTATTAACTATTAGGAAATTGAACAAACGTCCTAAAAAAAAATAAACATTTTCAAATGAAATTGTACTGTTGTATGGCCAGCTTTTAATAAGAAAAGACCAAACCCTTCTGAAATTGTTTATGAGCCCAGTCAAAGAAGCATAGATTTCTGTCACTCAGCCTGCAGGATGGCCTAAAAAGAAAATCGAATAGATTCCTCCATCCACACAGAACAGTGAGGATGGAGCGATCTCGCCTGCCAGCTATTTAGACAACCTGCACTTTTAGCTGTCTGAATACGGGAACAGTGTCTGATTGGATATAGTCATTGTTCTGCTGACAATTTTCTACCCAGCTCCTTTGAATTGTTTAATTGACGTTTGTTGAGTCAGGTGGTACTGACAGCCACCCAAATCTCGAATTTAAGCCAATGCAGCAGGAATCGCATTCAATTTGTGCCGTGTATGGATACCTTAAGCATGTGAATGGATTAGTAAACACTTATTGATACAGTGCCTGTGGACAAATGTCATGTGAGGATTATTTTAGCACTCTATGCAAATAACATGCTTGATAAGTCCATGATTTCAAACAACAATATTTGTGCCAGGTGTGGTCTGCATTTTCACAGTAGGTAGGACACAATAAGAAATGTGTCATGACTTAGCATCAATGTTGTTAAAACACATCAAATGGTTAGAAAACATTCTAAACAGTGCAATTTAGGGGTCACTAAATTGCAGACTTCGGTCCGGAGTGACGGTTCTGTCCGGACCACAATTGCGCACTTGTGCTGGTTCATGGCTGGTTGACTGACCGTAGATGCACCTGCCACCAAAACTGACAGCCAGACAACCAAAACCCATATAGTCTCTGGTTGCAAGGGCCGCTGGTGTCCTAACAACCAATGACATCACATGCCCTCTTCAGTTATTGGTTGCTGGTGTCCTAACAACCAATGACATCACAGGAGGATGGAAGAGTAGCTTCTCCTGTCCAAACCTGCAGCCCTCTCCAGCTACCTTCCTCTTCCTGCTATGGGAAGGTATGCACTGATGGGGAGAATTAATGTTAGGGTGCTGTCTGATGGGAACAACTGATCATTAGTTTTCCCTATCACAGTGCCCACTTACACTAGTTGTCCCCATCAGTCTGCCTCCTTGATTAGTTGACCCCATCAGAGTACCTCCTTAGATTGGTAACCAATGTAAGGGGGCACCCTGATGGTGACAACTAACGCAAGGAGGGATTCTTATGGGAGCAACTAATGTAAGGGGAACACTGATGGGGACACCTAATGTAAGGGTGTTCCTGGAGATAGAAGATGTAATCCCGTCAAGATGCACTGCAGATATCGCCACGTCTAGGATGCCAGGAGTAAGAATAAAACTGGCATTCACTAGTAATGTCACAACAACAGCTCAGCTCCTGATGTTCCTCATCCCTTCATGAAAACCTTTTGAAGTTTGAGCTGCTAGCTTGGTCTGTGTTAGAGCAAGAATCAAGGATGACAATCTTTGAGGGCACAAGCAAAGTAAAGAAAAATCCAAGATCAAGGCTGTGCCTCATCAGGAAAAACCAGATAGGAATACTAACCTACATGGTGTATAAACATACTAACATAACTGTAAATATGATATACTTTCTCCGAAAGTATGATGTGAATGTCAGTGCGCGCTCTACATACATAGGCTTGTCATGCTGGCAAACACTAACCAAGCATTTGCTCACCTGCGCGCAACTTCTTTACCAAATAGGAAAAAAGCATACTGTAGGTAAACGCATTTCATATGTATAGTAAGGACAGGATCACTACCCTCAAAAGTGATTCCTAAAGAATTGTGCATTGATGTCATTCATTGTTCTTGGAGGTGTTTTTGAAACATTGCTTGTTCCTTAGTGTCTAGTTTGACGAGGGTACCACTAAGATCGTTATTCTGTCATTACTGTCCTATATGGAATGTAGCTGTGTTATCTTTTCCCAGCATAGATTGATATCATGGTTAAAGTGTTTCTATTTCCAAAACGTTATATTTCTAGTTTGGGATAGAGTAGGGAAGGGTTAGAACCCCTGTCAGGTTTTACTGTTGCTGTGTTAGAGAGATTTCCCATCACTCTCTGTTCTGGGAACGTTTTACCAGACAGGCAGTCAAGGAAATCTATAACAGGATAATGGACAACAATAAAAGCTGACGGAGCATTCTGATGCTTCTGTCTGTATTGCTGTTGGAAAGATTTCACTTGCTGTCCTAGGAACAACTTTTTACCAGACTGGAAATGAACTAATCTCTCCAACTGAGCCTCTGATGACAATAAAACCCGACAAGTGTTCTAATGCAAATGTGTTACATGTATTTGCTTGCTGTTCATCTATCTTTGAATTCTCTGTTGTAGCCATAGAAGAAGATGAGGACTCTTTAGAAACTATAAAAGGTCACAAGAAATCAAAACACAGAAAAAACATAGTAAGTATTATAGTTGAAACTGTTGTTACCAGAACTGAAATTCCATGGAATGGTGGTTATGATTATAAGGATATATAGAAAATAAAAATGTGCACTTTTATCTTTGTGTAGACTTTGCCTAAAATAAACCTGGACAACTATTCAGCGTTGCCACTGGATGAAGGAGATGAAGACCGAGAAGCTGGAGGAGACGATGATGAAGAAGGGGAGGGATCAGATTCTGATCTGGATTTAGGAGATGGCGGATCTGGTGAAGGTCTGAAACAAACATTACTTTCTAATTCAGTGACCTGGAACGAGGTTACACATCTTGCGGTATACCAGTTCCCGCTTATATAAGCCAAAGAATCTTTAATCCAACCAAGCCACTATCATTTTTAAAAGCCATGTCAAACTGTTTTTCTCCTGTGACAGACATATTCACATCTGTCATGCAATAAGGAGATTTGTATGTAGCACTGAAGATATTTGCATTTTGCCAGTTAGCATTTGATCAATGAATGTAAAATCCCTCTAACGTGTTACATTTTTATATTTCCAGATGAAAAAGCAGACTCCTCCCTTCCGCTCTTTGTGCTGCCATTATACTCGCTGTTGGCTCCTGAAAGACAGGCCCAGGTATATTGTACATTTCATATGCTCCGACTGTGGACATTAAAATATATTTAACAAGCAGCAAAACAGCTTTTAAACCAAGCCCTCACTCACCTCTCTAGATGCTGTTCTCAAAGAGCACAACAAAGACTGTAAGGCCTCATTCACCCTGCTAAGAGCTGGCCCGTACACATCCGTGCACGGCCGTACTGGGACGCTCGCGGGAAGGACAGGTGCTGCGTGTGATTTATACGCATCGGCCTGTTCTTCTCTATGGGAGTACGCCGCCGTGCGCTCACACGAACTGCACATATGTGCGGGTGCCCGTGCTCGGACGCAGTCAGGATTCATCCTGTCTGTGCACGGATGTGCAGCGCTGGTGGCCGCGTACTCCCATAGAGAATAACAGGCTGCTGCATACAATCACATGCAGCACCTGTCCTTCCCCGGAGCAGCCCGATACAGCCCTGCGCGGATCTGTACGGGCCGGCACTTAGCAGTGTGAATGAGGCCTAAGGTTCAGTGGTTCATAACAGCTTAAAAACATTTTCTGAGTGTTACTTTAAAGGGCGGGCAGCCTACGCAAAATCTGCTGTCATAGAAAAAAAAAGAAGCTATTATTTTTCTGCCTATGTTAATTTCTCCACAATGCCATTGGACACAGAGATAAATGAATGCTTGTTTTAAAGTGCTTTTCCTGCTTGCCCGGAATATCTGGATACTCTAGTGCAGGTGTGCCCATTAGGTAGATCGTGATCTACCAGTAGCTCTCAAAGCTGATGCTGGTAGATCATGAAGGGTGTGAATGGCGGCCCCTTTATTCCGTTTTGGTATATTTATTTAGCTGTGCACACATGATTACCTATTAGCCTGAGTCTGCTGAGCCAAGCTCCCTGACACCTTTCTGGTGGATTCTGGTGGTTGAAGTGCTATGTATTACATCAAAGAATATTAGTTTACACAGCCTGTTGGACTGCACTGTTTGCAAAATACAGCAAGGTGAGCCAGGAGAGATAGCGAGGAGAGACAAGACAGGAGAGAGAGGAAAGACAGCCAGGGGAGAGAGAGCAAGGAACGACAACCAGGAAAGAGAGAGAGGGGAGACAGCCATGGGAGAGAGCAAGGAGAGACAGCCAGGAGAGAAAATGAGGAATGACAGCCAGGAGAGCGAGGAGAGACAGCCAGGAGAGAGAGCGAGGGAGGTTATTTTTTCGTTGATAGATCTCATGTAGCTCGTCTTTTGAAAAGTAGATCTCCACACAAAAAATTGTGGGCACCCCTGCTGTAGTGTGTATGATCTTGGCATAGGTTTACTTTAAAATGCATCTGCGCCCAGACTGTGGACACTAAAACATTTACATATTCTTAAGCAATTTGCTGTCCTTAAAACAAGCCATCCCTGACCTATGTATCTGAACGTACTCTAAATTAATTCATCCTCAAAGGTCACAATAGAGGCTTTGGTTTTCAGTCAGCTTCAGCACCAGAGGCAGTGCTGCCAATCCAGAAAGCAGTATGCAGGACTAGGTGTGGCCAGGTGCTGATTAACAAGCTACTGGCTTGTGTATAGCAATGACAATGCTGATCCACTGCAACATTTTTTTCATCCCACTGTAGTCTAATCAGGCATAGTCTACATGAGAGTAGCAACTCCGAATTCAGAAGAAGCATTAGATGGACTCAACAGGTATTTGTGGGACTTTGCAGGAAGGCTAAGCAATAACTGCACTTCTAATTCAAAGAGAACTATGGCCAAACCATTTTTTTTGGCTATAGTTCTTTTTTGGGTCACAGGAGTATATTTACTAATGTCCTCCTATGACCCAAAATCAGCATATAGTGGCCTACTGCAGTTGGAAAGAGCCCAACAATATTGCCAGTATCCACCCCGCTGCCTGATTGACAGCTGGCTTTGCTTCTCTAGAGGCAACAGTCTTGCCAAAGGTTAGAAGTTAAACTATTTTTTTTCTTGTATTTAATCTCAGTGTAATAATTTTATTATTATTATACAGGATTTATATAGCACCAACAGTTTGCGCAGCGCTTTACAATATAAGGAAGACATTACAATACAATTTAAGACAAGATGGTAAGCAGGGTGTACAGTATGATGTTTAACAGACCTGAGACTGTTGCTGGGTGCTGCCATCTTAGATGTGACATCAGCAGACTCAGAGCTGTCACTCTGACCCTGCTATTTTTTTTTTACATTTGAGGCTTACTGAAGAGCTTCTCATTTATCTGATGACAGTGCAGAGAGACTAATAAAAGTGTAGAAAAAAGTGCTTATTATCCTTGACTGCTGCAAGATTTCTGGTGGCAGGGGCGCTTTAACTCAGAAATGTGTAACTGATTGACAACCTTTTCAGGTATTCCGCCCACCACCCAGTGGTACCAGGTTATGTGTTGTGGCCACCAATGTGGCAGAAACGTCCCTTACTATCCCTGGGATAAAGTATGTGGTTGACTGTGGTAAAGTAAAGAAGAGATTTTACGACAAAGTGACTGGTGTATCCTCTTTCCGTGTGGAATGGACGTCACAAGCCTCAGTTGATCAGAGAGCTGGAAGAGCAGGACGTACAGAACCTGGTCACTGCTACAGGTTTGTGGTTTTTCCTATAATCTGCTTATGAAAAAGAAATTAGAACTTGAATCTATAGCTCTACACCAGTGGTTCCCAATGAATGACCCAGGAGACATGTACAGCTATGAGCTACACTGGATATTACTATAACTGCTGCTTTCTGCACTACAACCTTTTACTTATGGTTTCTGATTACAAACATTACACCCTTTACTTATGATTTTACCAGTGTAGTGGTTATGGTAGTTTGTCATAAAAGGGATGGACAGGGGCAATGGCGTCACAAGGGGGGTGCGGCCCGCACCCGGGTGACACCATTGGAGTAGACACCAAAATGACCGTGGTGTCACACCCCCCCCCGACAGTATCATGAGAGAGGAGGGGACCTGTACCCTCCTCTCTCTGCCGGTGTCCATCACCAAGATGGCCGTCAGCAGGCATCAGAAGAGTGCTGCGCGTGCGTGATGACGTCATGCGCAGTGGCGAGTCGGCGGGGTGACACCCGGTAACCTCTCCGGGTGTCACCCAGTCTCGGGACACCCCTGGGCAGGGGTGTTCATGTGCCTTGTGTATTAATGTGTTTTTTTATTTTCTTAGAATCTGTGTCCTTGTTATCCCCTGTTTAATGATGTCTTTGATTTCTGTGTACAGGTTATATTCATCAGCTGTCTTCAGTGATTTTGAGCAGTTTTCTCACCCTGAAATAACTAGGCGTCCTGTTGAAGATCTAGTTCTTCAAATGAAGGATTTGAATATTGAAAAGGTGAGGTGGAAAGCGGGTCATGTTTCATTCACAGTTATGTAAATATACGGCAAACCGGACTTTATCTAGCATATGACAAAACTGATCACTGTGGTCGGATGGATCACAAATATTCTGTTAATGGGTCTTGTATATCATTTTGTAATTTCACAAAGATGTTTGTTTTTTTTCAAATGAGATGTACAGCACATATTGGAATTCCTATTTCTTTTTCAGGTAGTAAATTTTCCATTCCCTACACCTCCATCTGCTGATTCCCTGATTGCAGCAGAGGAATTGCTGATCTCTTTGGGAGCATTGCAGGACCCGCCAAAGACTGGCAGGTATGTTTTTATAGCCCCGCTTCTGGGAATGAGCAGACTAGAGTATTGAGTTTTTTGTTTTTCTTGGTTTGTAATGGATGAATGCGGTTGAACATTTTCTGGTTTGAACTATTAAACCTTTAGCAAGCAAGCACCTGTTCATGTTGCAGTTGTCTGTTTTTTGTTGACTGGTAGCTGAGATGAGCAATGCATCCATTCTAGTAGACATATTAACCACTTGCCGGCTGGCCGATTGTAAATAAACGGCCGGACGGCTGTTTCATATCTGCGGGTGGGTGTTTATAAAAAGGTTGATAGGTTTATAGAAAGGTTGACAAACTGAAGCCCTTGAAAAACACCAGCGTTATGATGTGGGAAGGGTGAGGGAGGGCTGTGGGAAGGGTGCGTCCCCTTCCCTATGCTGCTGGCTATCCCAGGCTCCGCTGTCCTCTGTGCGGCCCCGGGACCAGCACAACGGATCTCTCCTCCGATCACTGAATGCGGAAGTGATATGAATTACATCCCTTCCACTTTTAGCCTGTAATCTCTCCGGCAAGCTGGTAGCTTGATAGTCAGCTAGTGAAGCACATTACATTACTCCGGCTTTCAGCCTATCATCTCTCCAGCTGCTGTAACGTGAGAAAATGCTAATGAAGCACATCTCTGACGTATCACTGTGTCTGTGCTATCACATAGGGGACTTATTATCCCCTTATGTGATTTGCAATAAAGTTAAGTGGTAAAAAAAAAAAAAGTCACATATAAAATTATAAAAAAAATGTATATGTACATGCCCATTCAAACAAGTGTCGGATTCGCCTACGTGTGAAAACAACGATTGCGCATATCACTGCGAACGCTGGAGTGGAAGCAATAATTCTAGTTCCACCAATCACTGTTAACTCTAAACTTATGAGCGGTAAGATTTTAAAGCGTCATCTATGCCTAATTTTGGGTACGGTAGTTTTTGCAATTTTGCAGGCAACACAGTTTTAAGGCTTAGTGTACAGATATGTCTCCTGCACTCCTTACAGCAGCGGTTCTCAACCTGTGGGTCGCGACCCCGTCGGGTCGAATTACGATTTGCCAGGGGTCTCCCTCTATTAGATAGCGGCTCCCGTCTGCCTTGGAGAGAAACACTTTCTCCCAGAAAGGTTTACTCTGCTCGATCGAGCAGAGTAAACCTTTCCCTGCGATCATTTTTTTTTTTTTTTCTGACATCTGGGGCCGCCATCAGTCAGAAAAAAAAAACCCCCATAGGAATGCATTGCTAGATTCCTATTGGCTATATCACTTTGCAATAGCCAATAGCAAACTAGCTATTGCATTGCCCTCTGCTGCTGCCAATCAGCAGGGGGGACCTGAAGTTCTCCATCAGGTCCTCTTCTAGTGATTGACAGCAGCAGAGGTTGGGTGCAATAGCTAGTTTGCTATTGGCTATTGCAAAGTGAAGAAATAGCCAATAGGAATCTAGCTATGCATTCCTATGGTGTTTTGTTTTTTTTTTTGTTTGTTTCGACCTGTTGGTCGCTGTGTGATTTTCTGCTGTGCTAGGTGAGAGTCCTCAGCCTTCTCCTAGCACAGCAGTGTCAGTTCTCCCGCCACGCCGCCAGATGTCGTTGCAGCAGCCGGGTCATCCCTAAATTTTACCGCTGGGGGGTCACCACAACTTGGCAAATGTTACCAAGTGGTCACGGCCCTAGAAAGGTTGAGAAACACTGCCTTACAGTGTCCGGAACCAACAGCAGATATTGTGCTCGCAGTGATAATCACTGTTGGCGCCATTCAAGGAAATACAGGATCATTACCACTCAGAAGATATTGTTTTAAATCTTGGTGTATATCGGACTTCTGACCGGATGGAAGCCCAGGTAAAACAGGGCGGTTGACAGCAGATGCCTCCGCAAAACACAAGTTCAAACAGGAAGTCACTCGCATTCCAATGCAATGCCAAGTCAATCTTGTTTATTGACTAGAAATAGTGTAGCATTTTACAGCAACGTTTCGGAACCAGCACGGTTCCTTCAGGCAAACTTCCTGTTTGGACTTGTATTTTCCCAACGTGACCCCATCTTTTCTTTTATTACCGAGAAATTGGGTAATAGTAAATGTTATATTATAGCATAATGTAGGAAAAACTGTTTTGGGTTTTTTTATCTCCAAAATTTTTGGTTCTTTTTTTCTTTATATAGTAAAAAATTAACCCAGTGGTGATTAAATACTACCAAAAGAAAGCTTTATATGTCCCAAACAAAGATATAACATTTATTTCGATGTGGCATTGCATGACTGAGTAAATGTCAATGTACTTCAGTGCTGAATACTGAAAAATGGCCAGGACAGGAAAGGGGCTTAACACCCCGCTCTTCAAGTGGTTAAAGTAAAGGAACCCATCCACATCAAATGATTGTCATTCTGTAGGCAATAATTTCACAGTTGGAAGTTATTATTTGCCAGTTATCACCTAAATATGTTAATATCGCTGTCACACAGAAAGCATCTGATGGACATTCTGACACCTGTGTGCTTTTCCAGAGAATTGATTTAGATTATTAGGCTAGAGGTTCTGGGCCATGCACTTGAACCATGCTTTAGGTGTCCTATCTAATGCTGACTTTGCTTTGACTGCTGTAGAAATGCTTCACTAACCAAACAACTTGAATGCTTTAAACTACGATAATTGCTTTTATGCATTCTCTAGATTTCTTTCTGTGAATTTTAACATGATACGTTTTTATCATTGCAGATTAAATGTTCTACAGAAGGCTAAACTCAGCAGTCCAATCACTCCTCTAGGGAAGACCATGGCATCATTTCCAGTAGCTCCACGCTATGCTAAAATGCTTGCTCTGGGGAAGCAGCATGATTGCTTACCTTACATTATTACTATAGTGGCAGCTATGACTGTGAGAGAACTGTTTGAAGAGCTGGACAGGTGGGTGAGCAACATATTTACCATATTGTGCTGTTTTATAAAGCTCATACCTTTTTCTGGTGTTTTTGTATGTCTATAGCCAACATTATTGGATTATCACAATTCATCAACTGTTACAGAATGTGTAGCCCCAGAGCACACCTAGCTGCCCAATAGTTCTTTGAAAATCTTTATTATACAAATTAAGGAGGCACCGATAGCGACTAGCGTTACTAGTATAGCTATCGGTGCCGATACCGAGTATTTCGGCGAGTACCCGTACTTGCCCATATGCTACGATGCCTAGCCCAATACTTCCTGTTTCAGAAAGCCAGGCAGCGCGTCATTACACGCTTGCCGGTTTCCTGATTGGCCGGGAAGCGGCTCCATGCTCTCTCACTTGCGATAAAAGAGCATGGAGCCGACTTCCCGGCCATTCCGCAAGCCGGGCAGCGCTTCATTGCACGCTGCCCGGCTTCCTGATTCGTCAGGAAGCTGATTGGCCGGGAAGCTGGCTTCATGTTCCCTCCTTGAACTTCACCTGCTGTGTAAATGTATTTAATATGCAGTATTTTATATATGCCTGATTTAAAAGAAAAAAATTAACTTTTTCTTAAACTGGCCATACACTGGTAGATTTTTGTTCATGCGAAAGATAATGCCATAGGAGACTTGACAACTGTCATTTGAAAATTCCTTTGATATTAACATTTGATTTGTCATTATGGTTGAAAACAATTGTTGATTTGCCCCCGCATCTGTCTTTTAATTCTATAGAATCTCTACAGGATTCAAAAAAAGGGAATGCGTTCTGGGGAAGATTAGAACAGTTTTGATTCTTGCGCTATGTGCTTTATTGATGTGATTAAACATGAAATGATTTGACCAGGTGGTGTACAGCACTGAAAGGGTTCCGTCTAAGCTGTACATTCATTAGAGGGAAAGAACCTCCTTCCTTGATTTCACATTTGTACATTTATCTGTAATGTTAGAATTGTGTTTTTGCTTTTCTTTAGACCAGCAATTAGTGATGACGAGAAAGAGACACTGAAAGCCAAGAAGGCTCGAGTGTTACAGATGCAGAGGATATGGGCAGGGCAGGGCCCCGCTCAAAAGCTTGGTGACTTGATGGTTATGTTAGGTATGTATCAAAGGCCAGCATGCTTTTTCCAGTTTCTAAGCAGCAGTTGCCTTTAAAAGGAAAGTATAGTGAGGGAAATTTATCAGAATTGGAGCAGACATTATCTGGAGCAGTTATCCAGGGCAACCAATCAGCTTCTCTCTTCAGTTTGTTTTGTTAACCGCTTGAAGACCAGGTGTTTAGACCCCCTTCCTGGCCAGGCCATTTTTCAGTGTTCAGCGCTGCAGTACTTTGACTGACATTTATTCCGTCATGCAACGCTGTACTGAAATTAATTGTATACCATTTTTTTGGAGACAGATAGAGCTTTCTTTTGGTGGTATTTAATCACCACTGGGGTTTTTATTTTTTACTATATTCAGGAGAAATTACTGAAAATTTTGAAAAAAAAAAAGTTTTTTTTTTACATTATGCTATAAAACAACTAATATTACCCACTTTTTTGGTAAAATATAAAAGACGGGGTCACGTCGGGTAAATAGACACCAAACATGTCAAGCGTAAAAATTGCGCGCACTCGCAAAAAACTAGCATACCCAAAATTGGCCATAGGCGACGCTTTAAAAGCTTTTACCGCTCATCAGTTTAGTGTTATCAGTGATTGATGGCCCTAGAATGATTGCTCTCACTCCGACGTTCGCGGCGATATGTAACATGTGCGGCGTAATGGGTGCAAACGTCGTTTTCGCAGGTATGCGCACCTGACGCATGTTTACATGCGTGTATGTAGGGGTGGGGATTTTTACTGTTACATCCGAGCGGGCGGATGTAACAGGACGTGTATACACGCCCAGTTACATCCAAGAAGCTCCCAGCAGGCCGTGTATACACAGCGGCTGGCTGGGAGGTAGTTAAAGTAGAATTAAACTCTCCTTTGTTTTTGCATATATCTACTACCAGTAGATATATGCAAAAGTTACCAAATAGGTAAACACGTACCTGTGTCACTCCCTTCTGAAGATCTGAGTCTTCTTGAGTGGCCATTCAGGATGATGGGGCGGGCGTATGTGCAGTAGAGATGTTCGACGTGGAGGTGAATGCACGCAGCCGGAAGCATGCACGTCGGGCAGACACCGTGGGACCCGAGTAGTCTGGGCAGGATCAGAGACCGGCACCAGCGCTGGAGGGATTGATGAATACAAGTGGAAGGAAGAAGATAATCGGATCAAGAAGCATCATTTCAGTCCTTAAAGCAGCATGGGTGGAGGAGGAAACATTTGTGACTTTAATGTCCTCTTCGTTTTGAAAATGAAAGAGAGAGGCTGATTGGTTGCCGTGCACAGCTGCTCCAGATTTTGTTTGCTCCAGTTTTGATAAATTCCCCTCAGTGTGTTTTCAGTGAGGCCATATTGAGTTTTAGTGCAGTGTTTGCAGTAATTGTTTTTCCATATTTTTATTGCATTATATGTAAAAAAGAAAGTGTAGATTAGCCACTACAATTACTCTGCCTCCTTGCTTATCTGAATGTATAAGCCACATAGGGACTGCATTGTTTTCCGTGTCAGCCAAATCATAGACCTGCATTATAAAAGAGGTGTAAATCCCAGCCATTGTGTAGTGTTACATAGCAGGAAGCAGAGTATCTATATATATATATATATATCTATATAGATATATATATATATATATATATATATAAACAAACATTGAAATAAATATGCATTCCTTTTAAAGTGGAGCTTTCCTTGTTCCCTTTTAGGGGGTTCTTGCTATAATATGCAATTATTCACTGCAGATGTGCACATTATGCCACACTTTAGTGTGCTCTCCCCTAGCATTAGTGGGTCCCTGCCCGCTGTCACTGATCCGTACCACACCACTGCCATCTTCTCCACTGTTTCCTGGTCCTATGTTGCTTCCCTGCTTATTGCTCATATGAGTTACATCGTCCCCAGAATCTGACTCCATTCTCGGCATTTCATAGACGCAAAATTGTATTATGTGCATCTATGAAATGCCAAGAATGGAGCCGGATTGTGGAGATGATTTTGGCAGTAGCGATTATGCACGTCTTTCAAAAAAAAAAAAAAAATCCATCTCCTAGCTGTTTTTTATTTTCAGACTTCAGGTCTGTTTTAACTTGATGGAGAGATGTATTTTATCAGTTATGAAGTTCTCTTCTCCTTCTATAATCAATGCTGCTATGCAAATACAGGGACACTTTGGCGTCTTTTTTATAGATAATTTAAATTCACCCTGTGAAAGTTTATTTTGGGCAAATAATGCCAAAAATGTTCTGCTCGCTCAGCCTCCTGTGACAGCGTGTCAGGGAGGAGAGCAAGTGCAAACACTCAGTGATCGCTGAGTGTTTGTAAATAATTGAGGACATTGTATGTGGAATATATCCTCAATTATGAATGAATATGAAGTGACCTGCATCACCTCCTGTTCATTCATGATTGTAGTTATAGTAACCATACTCTGTCCTCCATTTTATGAATGAACAGGAACACTCAGTATAGAGGATTCCTGTTCATTGATAACAGGGGCTGCAGAAAAAGAGATTGAGGACTCTGAATCTTTTTTTCTATTTTAAAAGGAAAATATCAGGGGTCTGTTTAGACCCCTAATATTTCCCAGAAGCCCCTAAAAGTAAAGTAAAAAATAAAAATATTTAATAAAAATGAATTTCGGTTTTAAAATTTCCATTTCGTTGCACCTCTAATTTATTCCTATGCTCCTCTGCTACATCTAGTGCAGCGGTTCTCAACCTGTGGGTCGCGAGCCTCCTCCTAGCGCAGTAGTGTCAGTCAGCGGGAGGACAGCAGAGGCTGTGAATATAAAAGTGCCGCTGTACACACTCCCTGGCCGCTGCAGCGACATCTAGTGGCCCGGGAGTTTGTACAGTAGGACTTTTATATTCACAGCCGTTGCTCTCTTCCTGCCTCCCATACAGTGCGGGCTCTGCATGAGGCGGGCATCTAAGCAGTGCTGGGGCTGAGAAGGCTGCATGGAGACAGAGCAGGCAGCAGGGGCTGGGGAAGGTTTGTATTCTTGTGAGTGTGCTTCTGTTTTTAGTCCCAAGTCCAGCACCTTACTAATTCTGGAGTCCAGCACTCCGCTGGGGGGTCACCACAACTTGACAAATGTTACCAAGGGGTCCCGGCCCTGGAAAGGTTGAGAACCACTGATCTAGTGGCCATAATTGTTCATAAAAAGACCCCTAATTGTGAATAATTATTTACATAGCTTTTTATATGTCATTTAAAAAGCTTTTGGAAGAAATTTTGTAATTTTAAGATCTTGTTTTAAATATTGAGCAAGTGATCTACACTTTGTGTTTTGGATTGTTATAAAGCACTGTTTTAACGACGGAGCTACACTGTCTTTTTTTTCTTACAGGTGCAGTAGGTGCATGTGAATACTCAGGCCTGACTCCCAAATTCTGTGAAAGTAATGGCCTGAGGTTTAAGGCCATGATGGAGATACGACGTTTAAGAGGACAACTTACCACAGTTGGTAAGATATATCCACATTCACTGAAGACACATTACTAATGTGTCATAAGGGAGTTCATAACATCTGCTTCTTTCTCTAGTAAATTCACTGTGCCCTGATGTCGCCATATTCCTCGATTCTAAGATGCCACCACCTACAGAAAGCCAAGTGAACTATTTGATGCAGATTGTCATGTCTGGTTTAGGTGATCACATTGCCAGGCGGATTCGTCCAGAAGAACTTCTCAATGAGAAGTGGAGGAATGCTTATAAGGTTGGCAAATCATGTTACTGAAAACTGTATTCTGTCCATGTCGGTGGGGAAATCTCTTTTTATGCTATAAAAATGTCACCACATTACAGACAGAATGTTGTGCTAGGTTAGCTTAAATGGAGAGACTTCCATGGACCTTATTTATACACGGGGGTGGCTGCAAATTCAGTAACTGAAACCTTTTGTCTATTTTTAAGTGTATTAGGGGAAAGCAAAAAAATGAGCAGTAAAAACGTCTGATCTATTATAAAAAAATTCTGTGCCTCCCACATCCATATTGTAAATTCTGTGCCTCCCGCAACTATATTGTAAATTCTGTGCCTCCCACATCTATGTTGTAAATTCTGTGCCTCCCACATCTATGTTGTAAATTCTGTGCCTCCTGCAACTATATTTTAGATTCTGTGCCTCCCGCAACTATATTTTAGATTCTTTGCCTCCCGCAACTATATTTTAGATTCTTTGCCTCCCGCAACTATATTTTAGATTCTGTGCCTCCCGCAACTCTGCGCCATTTCCCTGCACATAGGCCTCTGGTCTGCATATTATTGGTGACTACGAGCATTTGTTCCTGTCTGCCTGTATACTTCTAAATTATTTTCAAATACATATGAAGACAAAAAATAGCACAGCAAATGCAGATGTCTATCGTTTTATTGTTGTGATGGTTCTAAATAAGATTAAAGGGCATTTCCAAAAAAAATTATACATTTGTTTTTGAACCCTTCAAATTTAATTTGTAAAAAACATTCCCACCACATCTATGATAGCTTATGGGTTTTATCTTGACAGACATCTGTTTCCTGTGTAACATCAACTTTTAGTTGGTCATTCCTGTACTATAGAGAACAGGTGATGAAGGTTGTGACTATGGCAGTCTGGAACTGACCTGAATGAGGGGTCCTAATCAGACAGATCACTGCATTACTCTGTAAAATCCTCCATAAAGCTGATCTCCACACAGGAATAATAAAAGACACAGGCATTTACTAAAATAAAAATAGTTGAATATATTTTTTAGATGCAACTACTGTGTGTACTTGAATTTGACTTGATGTCAGCCTCTTGCAAACCCTTAGACTTCGAGAGGGAAATATGGCACTAGGATCCAGTCATGTATGCTGTGTACACATGTGTTGACAAGACAGATGTTGACGGAATGGGAAATTACTGTTTGCAAAGGAATACACAATTCCTCACCCATACTATCCAGTCAGAGGCTGGGGATGGTGGGGGGTGAGTGATCTAGCTTTATCTCTTAAGTGGAGCAAAGAAAAATCAGGCCACCATCCTGGCTGTGGTGTGTGGCAGGGCTATAGAAATCTCAGGGTCAGATGAACAAAGCTACAAATCCTGAAGTTTAATCTGCTTATATTTGGCCTTCCCTGTTTCCCACCCACCTCCATGAAAATGCTAATAAAATTATTAAAAGTAACCTTTCTTTTTAAATTGCATACTTTATATTAGACCCTGTGACACACATCACTAAGTATTTGGGCTTTTCTATGCAGAGCAGGCAGATTATGGTGGGAGAGGCCAGCTAGGTGCTGTACATAGCTTCCTGAAAACATTACAGCATCTCAAGAGCCCTCAGCCCAAATGCAAGCAGTGGGCTGGCCCTTGGAGGAGTTATGCAAGTATAAAAATGCCTTCATTGGTGGGTGTCAGTCTGGAGGAGTGGGAGTTCCTAGGCAGACTGCATAACACCCACATGTTAAACTGAGCCTGCGTGATTGACGTAACTTGCTGGAGCCCCCAATGCACATTGTAAGAACAATGCTAATAGCCAAGCTCCCACAACATTTTATCATCCCACTGGTTCCAGCAGGCACAGCCTACATGAGGGTGGCAACTTTGCTCTGAATTCAGGAGCAGTGCAGCATCATTGCCACACCTTCACAGGAAGCTGCATTAGGTGAACTTCACTGACTAGATGAACAGGTATACATGGGACTTTGCAGGGGGACTAAAAGAACTGTAAGTGCAGATGCCGTTATAATTAAGTGCTGCAACATTTATATGTTTTTCATGTGAGGCCATAGTTGGTCTTTAAAGCTGGCGTTCTGATTCCCAAACAACATTCTAGTGTTGGAGTAGAAAAGCTGTACCTCTTTAGTTCCCTTTATACTTTTTGCCTTATAACTACTTTATTGGAAGCACATTTTAACGTAGAAATGTAAATAGGTCAGCAGAATGTCGCCAATAAATCATGATCATTTGATATTTTTTGAAATCTAAAAAAAGATGTTGATTGTCATTTATTTGATTTACTTCTACAGACTCCTCTTCTTGAAGATCCAGTGTTCATCCATCCAAACTCTTCCCTATTTAAGCAGCTTCCTGATTTTGTAGTTTACCAGGAAATTATTGAAACCACAAAGATGTACATGAAAGGTGCGGTGTGATGTAGCCATTCATTGTTTGTGTCTTCCAAGTATAAATGAAATATGATGAGTGCAGCCATCTAGTAGAAGTGTTATCATAATGTACACTGAACTATTTTAAAAGATGATGTTGGTGTACTTATGATCTTGAAGTCCCATGGTTGTTATAGATAGAAGTGTTATCTCTTTTCATTACCAATAATAATACCGCAGATTTTGTAATCTGCTTGTTATACTATAGTACACCTCAAATCAATTAATTGATGGGGGAAACAATGAATTGATGTCTTTCTCAATAAATTTAAATCATTGTTTATGCTCGATCATAAAAAAAAGGGTTTCCATCTATCATTAAAGTGGACTTTTACCCCCTTCCACTAAAAATCACATCAGCATGCAGCTCTGCATGCTGATATAAAAATCATCTTACATTCATTAAACAATCACATTTTTCTTTTACATATATTTCCAGGTTTTCCACTTCCTGGTCATCATAGGCATTCGCCTGTAGCCTGTGCCTAAGAGCTGCATCCTGGGAAGGTTGCACCAGCAGTGCCTTGCTGGGCAATCTCATTAACATCTCACAGAAAAGCATTTTTCCCCTGAGATGATGTGCGTGGTCACATGTCCTAGTCGCATGTGCCAGAGTTCCAGGAAGTAAAGGGAGATGGATTATTCTGCTCTTAGTAAAAAAAATAGCCACTGTGAGAAGACTGGGGAAGAAAAGAAAAATAAGTTATGTAAAGAATAAAAGCCTGCAGTTATCTAGAAGTATCTGTTTGTAGATTGTCATTACTAAACATTTCTACATGTGCCTTTTGTTATCATTTTTAAGATATGGGTAAAATTCCTCTTTAATGCCCATATTAGATAGACACATTTCTGAAATGTATTTCCTCTATTTCAATTCAGATAAAGCAGCTCCAATATCCTAAATAGATGGTGATATTTCCTTAATTCAATATAATAAGTGACAATTAAAAAAAAAAGTAGATTTAAACAGGCAATTCACGAATAAGCATACACATGTATATGAAGGGAAACATTATTTTGAAGAGCTTGGCAAAGGAAGTAAGATAGTTTTGGGGTATTTTTAATTTGAAGTTGGAGAGTATTAGTGATAACATTGATTACATTGTCCCTGCAGATGATCTTTTTTAAGCTTTGCTGCCTGTATATTTGGAGATGAATAGAAATCTACTGAGTGTTTGTGAAGCATAAACTTCCTGCCTAGCAATCTGAATGCATACACTGAAGGGCACTTTTGGCTCCCTGGAGGACAAGAGACTACTCGTTTTCCATTTATTTTCACTATAAAGGTGCCTATACACCTTACAATTATCTGCAAATTTTCTGTGGTCAGATGGAAAAAGTGCAACAGATTGGCCCACACAGTTAAGTGTAGATGGAGGAATCTGTTACATCTTTTCCATCTGACCACAGAAAATCTGCAGATAATTGTAAGGTGTATGGCCAGCTTAATTTTACTTTTAAGAACACCTGCAGTGAAAACAAAAGTATAGTAGGTTAAAACTATGCTCCCAGGGGTGTCTGCAGATAGCTTTCCGAATGGTCCAGAGCAGCCTGTAAACCCATGGTGCTCATTTTACAAGCGGCATCCCCTAGCTCTGCGATTAGAGCTTTGCCATGCTCTTCCCAATAGTGGGATGCTCTGAGACTCTGACTAATGGACAGGTTCGTGTTGTAGGGAGGTTGATACATGTGGGCCAGAGTTTAAAATTCTGAGCTAAAATTTGAACATCACTGCAAGCTCTGGATACTTTTTCATGGTGTTGTCTTCTGTATTGTGTTCCTTAAACCGAGTACATTAAAGGTCTTCTAGATTCGGCATTTATGTTGAGAGAGATCTGTTGATTTCATTGGCTTTCTGGGACTGTATGTTTCAGAGACATGACTAATGCATTGTTTCTATTATTACAGGAATTTCATCCATAGAGTCTGAGTGGATTCCTGCTCTGCTTCCACAATACTGTCACTTTGCAGACCCCCTGGAAAACCCTCCACCATTTTTTTGTGCTGAAACGGGAAGAATAAAATGTCACAGGACGAGTACTTTCTGTATGTATATTGCAAAATAGACACTCAACTGTACCTGCTAACATGCTGCCACTTTACTGTCTACTTACAGTTTAGATTTTGTCAATGTTACAGTTTGTTGTAATGATACTGATATTGGTGCTTATCTGTGTACACGTGTCTGCTTACGTGTTAGTCGGTTGTAAAGCTAATTACAGCATGACTCCTAAAGTATGTGCTGTAACATTTATTCTTTCTACAGGTGCTGTCCTAGAGTTATTAGCCCGAGGCATGCTCTTAGCAATGGGACCCATGCTTACACACATGTAACACCAACTCCATAATAATTGCTAGACCTTTTAAATGTGTTATCAGTAGGGCTGTGCAAATTAACAATTTCTCGATTAATTGTTAATCTTTTTGATCGATTAATTTTTTTTTTTAAACTCTCTGCACGAGCGCCAGCCAAGGCATTGGCCTATACACATACAGCACAGCAATGAAGTAATAAAATGAACTAGGATCACACTAATCCAGCACGTTATTATTCTGAGTTTCCACACTCAGGCGGCGGCCATATTGAGTGGGGCACGTGAGATTAATAACGTGCTGGATTAGTGTGATCCTAGTTCATTTTATTACTTAATTGCTGGGCTGTATGTGTATAGGCCAATGTAGTTGGATCTGTATGTGCATTATAATTAATCGAAATGAATCGATTAAAAAAAATTTTGATTAATCGAACACAAATTTTAATCATTACCAGCCCTAATTATCAGTTGTCAATTATCAATCATCAATTGAGAATCTTTTTCCACTGCGATACTGGCTTTGCATTTAATGCTCCATATTAGGCTTGCATGAAGGTAACCTCTGACTGTTAGGCTGTTAGACTTGATAAATGTAGAACTTTAGTTAGCATCTCCTCTGCAAACGTTGTCTTCTAATCCTACTGTGTAATGCTTTATCCCTTAGATCGAGTTGGATGGCAGCTGCCCGCTGTGATTGTTGATTATCCAGAAGGTCTAGAACGTTACAAATGTTTTGCCAAGTTCTTGTTGGAAGGAAAGGTATTAACCCCTTCATGACTGAGGCCTTTTTTTTTTCATTTTTTGCACCCATGTTATATTCCACATTTTAGGCCTGAAAATGACTTTAAACCCCCACACATTATATATTTTCTGAATGCCAAGACCCTATACAATATAATGGTGGTAGTTGCAAATTTTTATGTTGCGCAATATTAGCGCAACTCCTTATTAAACCCCAAAATTTAGTGATACATTTAATTAAATGCCCCAAAACACAACAAAATACCCATTCCTTAAATGAAATATAAAAGATGAGGTTACAACGAGTAAAACGATACCCAACATGCCCAGTTTACAAATTGCGTGCGTCCGTGAAACGGCGAAAAACTGCAGTACCCCAAAAAGTCCACAGAAGACGCTTTAAAAGCCCCCACAGTTCATCAATTTAGAGATACCCCAAAATACTGGCCCTAGAATTATTGCTCTCACTCCAACGTGCGCGGCGATACCCAACATGTGTAGCGCGTTCGTCGTTTTCATACGTAGGCGCACCCGACGCGTGTTTACGTGGTGACGCGGGGGCGGGGGACTTTTAAAAATGTTTCATTATTATTAGATTTATTTTACTTGTCCGGCGGGGGGGGGGCGGCCCCTTCTTCGGGACGCAGAAGCGATCTGGCGACAGGTAAGTCGCCAGGATCGCTTCTGTTGTAAAGCCGACAGTCGGCTCTACAAGTTTAAACAGAGTCCCGGCGGCAAAAGTCGCCAGGAGTCTGTTTAAACAGCCCCGATGCTGGCGACGTACACTGTACGTCGTCAGTCACGAAGGGGTTAATATACATAAACATAGTTGTACAAAGGACAGCATTGGAGGGAAACTAGGATGTTTCTATTTGTATGAAAAAAGACTTCAGTTCTCCATGCCACTGCAGCTACTTATTGTCATTCACACTTTTAGACCCAAGTGTACACGCACATAGCAAATCACAACTCTGGCTTCATATTCCTATTCAGTATACACACACAGGGCCGGCCTTAGGGGTGTGCGAGCCGTGCGGCCGCACAGGGCGCCATGGCAAACAGGGAGCCGTGCGGCCGTCACAGGCCGTCCTGTGGGCG